CTTAATGACTAGGTGTTTTGAGATTGTAAAACTATGATGTAGCTGTAGGAAAAGTGGTTTGAAATTTGACCACTTTTGCAAAAGCTGCCATGGCCAAAGTTGCGAAAATGCATCAATAACGTAAATGGGTTTAGAAGATGATAATCCATTTAATGATAATGGTGATGATGAAAAAGAATATTATCGTGAAGAATAGGACTAAGAAGAAGAAATAAAATCTGGAAATTGTACATTTTCTGAACTGGACTAATCAACCGAAGGTTTCATTGGACCATGTAACAAAACATTAATCGATAATCAGTATTAAAAAATAATGAAAATGCTCATATTTCAACAGCGCCCTCCACATTCGCACCGTGAACACCTGTGAAAAGCGCGAACTGCGAATGTGGATGGTTTTCGCGCCTGTACACGGGCTTCGCGCCTTTTCACGCCTTGTTCCCTGTTCAGTGTCGGTATTTTGCGCACGCGTCTAAGGGTTTACGAGGCGTGAACCTCCCGTGAACGCAAGCGCATCCACACTCGCGCGTAAAATCAATAACGCGCGAGACTGTGTCGTGAGGTTGTGCTTATTTGTATTTGTTTACGGAGGACAGTGTGTCAAATTAGCGTCACTTGGACAAACGAGCAGGAACTCTTGTATAATAGAGTATTATCATGCCGAACCATCGATATATATGTTCTACGCACTAGATATGGAATTCCGAACACTTACTACGCTCAACTGAACTGTACTGCAATCCGTACACCTGTTATTGTGGCTTCGATATTCATGCAGTGCGGAGCGGCGCTAATAATAATTTTATATTAAATTAGCACATATATATGCGGGTAGGGCATGACCACTCACCCATGTTTAGCGTCCAAGCGGGCGTAAAACAGGGTTGTGTCATGTCTTCCTGGCTGTTCATACTGTATCTCGACAGCTGTTTACAGAAGCTGAAAAATAGCTGTTTGGGTGTGAAATTGGGTGATATTAAAGTAAATTGTCTACTGTATGCTGATCATGCAGTGCTCATTGCACCATCAGAAGCAGAACTGCAGGCATTAGTCACGTGTATGAAAGAGGAATATGAAATTAAAGGTCTCCGTTTGAATGCTAATAAAATTAAGGTTCTGGTATTTGAAAAGGACGAAGAGAGAACAAAATGTGAAATATGGGTAAATCAGGAATGTCTAAAACAGGTAAATGAAATTGTATACTTGGGGAGTGCTTTCAGCCGGGATGGAAGATGTGATTTAGATGTGGATAGGCGTGTCGCTGCCGGAAACAAAGTCAATGGTGCCCTGAATGCATTAGTCAAAAGGCAAGGCGTGGTGAAGAGTGCACGCCTTGCAATACAAAACGCAGTGTTGGTACAGACTTTGTTATATGGCAGCGAAACCTGGGTATGCCAGAAGAAGCATAAAAGCAAGTTGAATGCAGTGGAGATGAGATCTCTTCATAAAATGTGTGGCGTTACCATAGCCGATCGAAAGCGAAACGAAGAGATTCGCAATATGGCAGGATTGAAAGATAACCTTATCACAAAAATTGATAGGGGCGTACTCCAATGGTTTGGGCACGTTGAGCGAATGAGTGAAGACCGAATGGTGAAGAAAATATATAGAGCGAAAGTAAATATTAAAAGGTGTCAAGGTAGACCGAGACTAACTTTCGAAGACCATGTGAGCAAATTGCTCGAAGAGGGGAAGGTCAAGAGTACTCGGATACCTAGACGTGCATGTATGAAGAAGTTAATGAACCTGAAAGAAGCGAAAGAGGTATGTAAGGATCGTGACACTTGGCGATCTGTTCTCTCTGGCTACCCCGTTAGGGATTGTGCGTGAAGATAAGTAAGTAAGTAAGTAAGCACATATATGCAAATTAAACAAAAATTTAAAAAAAATATACTCGATTAACAATACAATCTAAATAAACAATTATGTATTATGATAATTTTCGCGCGTTTATATCAACTGCGCATGCGCGACTCTGCTGTTTCCCGCGCATGTGCGAATACAGAGTAGTGCACACTTTTTGTTTGGAATAGCTTCTCTAGTACGTAGTACATATAACTCAATGTGCCGAACAGATTTTTTTTTATTTTTACTATTCTGAGCCAGCGCTTAGCTACAATCCCACCTAATGGTAAGTGGTGATGTAGCCTAAGATGGTGAAGTGCACCGACTTAACAAAAACCTATTCACTCTTGCCTTAAAGACACCCACACTGTAATCGGATGGAAAGACAGATGCTGGCAACTTATTCCACTCCTACGCTGTATGCATGATGAACGACATAGTAGGCTATTTGTTTCGAATGCGTGGTAAGTCAACAACGAAATGGTGCAGACTGGCCGAAGGCCTGGTTGTCCGATGGTGGAAGGGAGAGGGAGGAATTAAATTGTGCAATTCCTGCGCACACTCTGAAATTCATCCTGTAGAAGACCGTGAGGCTGGCTGCTTTGCGCCTGTGTTCGAGGTTGGTAAGATTGGTTTTAACCAAATTCAGGTCACCAATAAGCCTCCTAGCACGCTTTTCCATTGTGTGTGTCTGCCTATCGATTACTTAACTTATTAAAATTATTAATTTAATTTAAAACATAAACGTCAATCATGGCGCATCACTATTTAACCACTTTATCTATGTATAAGAGTATCTATAGAACACCGGTTTCTACTTGGCATAATAGGCAGTGAGAGCTACGCGCTTTCTATAGGTTGCTTATAAATACTCTAAGGACGTGGCAGTGTAAATATACACTACCTTATATCATGCACAGAACACAATTACTCTCTACCAATAGATCCCATGTGTTTCGTAAGAGGCGATAGAAGGAAATAAACCAGGCGTTGGGCAACAGAGTCTTACTCTTATTAGTTTTTGGTCTTACTAATAAATACTAGAAAATTAAAAAGCTGCGGTTGCAGACCTGAATACTACGTAATCAGTTTTGCGTAGAGCAACCACCGGCAGGTAGGAAAGGAGTAGCTAAAGTTTTTTTTCTCTATATAGAACTGTCTCTTTTTTTTTCGGGTGAAATTCTGCGCAAAAAAAAGCAATCATCTGTCACTACGAAAGTCATAAATATCAATTAAAACAAACAATTTCACACTTATCGTTACGTTATAATAGTATAGCCCGGTGACAGCTACCATTCGGATACACACTTGGATCAGTCACTTGACCGATCTACGTATTGTATGAGTACGAGCGGCCTGTGTTGGTAAACAAATCCAAAACATCACGACCGTCATTATTATATTTTTAAGTTCAATAAACTGAACCATGCGACATTTTTGTAGGACGTTGATTCATCCGCACAGCAAGATTTAGTCTAGTGAGCAATGCAGGTGCATCTAGTTCTACCGTATGCATAGGATTGTGTGGACTTATACTTGACAGAGGGCAACGCCTGCGTATATCTATTCGCCTCCGATCCGCCGGTGGACTGTGTTGCAATGTGATGTTTTGGGAATAACTATGGCAAATAACCCCCATATGAGGCAATCTATTGGGCAATCTATGGGTAAGTTCAATTGGCTATTATGATCATAGACTTAGAATATACTAGCGTAGTTATGTTGATGATGAAGATATCTTGTTCTATCTCGTACCTAAGATAACTTATAAATAGTGAAAGAAGTGATTATATACTCTTTGGCAGAGCTTATGGGTACTTTATTTTCGGGTTTTTGGCGGGAACTTTGTTGTCGACGGATGGTCGCTTCTGTTTTGTCGCTTGAATAATGGTTTGAAGTGGATTTTGATTCGTAATAGTGATGCAATTTGGTGAATTAAGTATCTGCGCGTGTGAACTATCAGAGAAAACGACAAAACAGGGGCCTTGATGTTGATATAAACCTCAAGTTATTTTAATTGCTTGGGCGCCTTATGTACTTGAGTGGCAGTCATCAATTGTCCGCTGCGTTAAGCTGTAGTGAAAAATCTCCCAAAAACTTCGCAATGTAACGCATCAGCAGATGTGGCAAAAAAATTAAAAATGAAGATTCCGAAAGAAATGATAGGCTGAGAAGGGCTAGAACTCAAAGCTGGAAAGCCAGTTAAACAAAAATAATTTATTTTCTTGAGAAGTTGGTTACCCTGGCTCAGTATTGCCATATATACAGATTCCCCTGTATTTATACTAGCTTGCTACATATTTATTTATCTATGATTTATACAGATTTTCGGTGAGTCATGATACAGATTAGCATGGATACAGATTTTTATACAGTTTTCATAACTCAATTGATACCGCGTTACACACATCATTGCATGATTCTACCTATATAATATGTTCGTTTGTTGCAAATGTTTGCGTTTTAATAAGTTGTTTGCTTAAATAGATCAATTTTGCCATATTAAAAAAAGTGTATAGTGTATGTTGTGGTTGCAGTACGAATGAGTCAGCTCGACTGGGGTAGGACCACTCTCTCACAGAATAGTGTAGAAATCCGGAGACCCTTTTTTACTGGAAACGAAGCATTCCATCTTAGTCCTCAGGCGTGACAACGCATCTGAGTTTTGATTCTAAATGTAGATGTAAATGGGCCACAGCATCCACTTACTATCGGTGGACTGTGTGCTAGTTTGTCACCCTTATTCAAAAAAATATTTTTATTTAATAACGATACTCAAACCTTAACAGCTTATCACGTTAGTAGTTATTCCTTGTTTTTCAAAAGAAGCAACGATGATGATGATAAATTATTCTATTTTGGTTTATTAGATTACACAGATTTAATACAGATTTTATGTTTCTAATACAGATAAAAGGTTCAAGTCATCTGGCAACACTGCCCAGGCTGTCGATGTCAAACTTCGATTAAAAAAATCTATCAATAATCAACAACAAGCACAGTATAACATTTATAGAAAAAACTTACTTGTTGAGTATAATATTGATTTTATTTGTATTTCAGTCTTGTTATTCAAGTTAAAGTTGGATAAAATAGACAGTTTTTAAAATGTTAATATAATTCTATTATTTATTGATTTAAATCTTTAAACAAAAATGGTAGTAAATGCACCAGAAACTCCTATACAGGCCGAAATAATATTTATTATAGAAGCTACAGCAGCAAATAGTGCCTATATAAGTGAATTAAAAACAAATTATATAGTACCAACGCTAGAGTAAGTGTTTATATATTTGACAAAGTATGGTCTTGCATAAATGAGGGCTAATAATCTGCGGTTTCGGAACAAGCTGTATTAAAATCATAAAGAAAGGGTCAATTGATAGGATCATGGATAATAATATGTATCAATGAAATGAGAAAGATATTTTTTCTATTTGTGTACATCACAAAGAATTAATGGTGATGTAAATTGTTTTTAACTAGAGGCACATGCTGTCTCCAAAAGAGAGGTGTGTGTTCTGTTACATGTGCTGGGGATTCCATATTGTTTGTTTTAATCAGTGTTTTGCCAGCGACCTAAACATATGTCAATAATTGCATTTCTGCAACACTCAGATAATAAAACACCTATAATTGTTATAATAGCTTAAACTTGTTAAAACTTGTAAAAATCGATGATCACATCAATCAGGAATCAATATTATGACGCCCAAGTGTATGTACAAGCACCAGTTTACTATATTCCCTCACTCTCAAAGTCTGATAGATGGCAAACAGTCACGAAAAAAGGGTTGTTGGATGCGTGACTTTCTGAAGCATGAAGGTTTTGACTGAGAATTTCTTGATAGAAAAATCTAATAAATGATGAACAAACAGGGTTATCATTTTCAAAACTCCACGTATAAATAGTGATGGGAAATCAAAAGAAACTGCTTGGTCAAGAAAATGTGTTAATCAAATCAAATAAATTATTCAGTATCAGTTTATACATAGCAGTGTTGTGAATGAGGACTTCTTTTAAGTAAATAAATACTTGTGTTAGAAATCCCCTATGTATTTAAACTTTAATTATTATTACCATTGAACTTGTATATATTATAAAACCAACAACATTTCATATAATCACATTCCATAGATGAAAAATATTAAATATAAATGTATTAGGATATGATATTATAAAAATAGTGTATAATAACTAAACTTTTTAGTTATCTGGATATATTACTTTGCTTGTTATATATGTTTTTAATACTTCCTTAAAATTTTTAGATATTTCCATGGTGGCGCCCTGGAAGAGGGTGCTGGCAGTGGTTCAGTGTATGGCATAGTTGCATACAAAACAGCTGATTGTCACCCGGGTCTTCCTGTTTTAACCTTCGGTCCCTTCACATGCCCTCAAAATGTAATTGAAACTGTGGATAAAATACAGTAAGTATTGTATTAGAGAGAAAGGAGGAAGTAAGTATTGTTTAGGAGGAGAGAAGGGCAAACTTTTTTTGAATTTCAACAAAAGCTGCACCTTAACCCTCTCAATCCTCCAGTGGTCTCATGAGACCGCGGCCATATTTCGTCAAATCCCTAGCGGTCTTATGAGACCACATCCACCCACAGCACTAACCCATAAAAGCTTATATTTAGAGACTACTTTTCTATAAAGAAGTTTGGCATTATATAATCAATATGAAATACTCTATCCTCTAGTGCAATAAAAAAAACTGTTATCTTATGAATATTTATTTATAATCTACGTTTATTTCGTATGCCATTTCTGCGTGAAGGTTATTGTGTTGGTTTTTGGATTTTTCTAGCGTTTAATAGAGTTTTATTATGAAATTGTAATTAAAGGTTTTGTGTGAATATAATTTATCCATTTATGTAAATAATTTCGAGTAATATATATTGAAATAATTGTGATTTTCATGCTATTGACATTTGCTTGGTATATTTTCTTTTTGTTATCAAAATACAATAAAATCTTTTTGTAATGAAGTAATACCTGACTTTTGTTTAGACCACTAGATAGAGATTTTTGTATAGATTTTATAATGCTAAACTTCTTCTTAGAAAAGTAGTCTCTAAATATAAGTTTTATGGATTAAAGTGCTGTGAAAAAATAAGGGTGGGTGCGGTCGCTTGCGAGCGCTCGGGATTTGCCGGGCACATGTGACTGCATGGGGTTTTTAAGGGGCTTGAGGGGTTTATATAATTAATGTTCATGATACTTACCATGAAAACCTTGGTTTTCTAAATCTAGCTTTTAAAACAAACAGGTCACATCTACAGTCTGCTGTTTAAGACTCCAAGTCTGCACTCCAGTATTAGAAATAAAATTAGAGTCAAAGACACCCTTTGTAAATATGGTCTGGACGAGGGTTCTCTAGACCAAATTTTTTACAATTGTCAAAATCATCCAATTTCTTTATATGATATCCATCCCAAAACATGGACGAGGGTTCTCTAGACCAAATTTTTTACAATTGTCAAAATCATCCAATTTCTTTATATGATATCCATCCCAAAACAATCTCTCGACCAGTGAATATTAACACTTTCACGGACGGTACATGATTATACGGCTTAATGTATGAAATTGATGTGGCGCAACGTACCATGACGTTCAAAAAACAAGATCATGTACAACGGAATGTTCATTTCCGATGAACTTTCTAATAAAAAAATTCTATGATTTGGACCTTGTATCTCTGAACTTTACTGTCATATAGAATAGGTTATTGACCACTTCAAAAATGTATTGGTCAATGTGTGGGACACTACACACACACATACAACGTGCTTATACGTCCCGCACGCCTCGTATTTAGTCGGGCCGTGCCACGAGTGGGGGGCATGGTTTAGCTTCGCAGGAGCGCTTCGTAATAAACTTCGTCGAAAAAAAGCATTGCAAGTATTATTTACATAATTGTTTTATTGTTTCTTTGTTATGAACTGTATTGTAAACAATATTGCTCTATGAAAATGGGATCTTACTGGCTATTTTATTGTTTTTATATGGAAAAACGCAAGACAAATCCGTTGAGGATTTGGATAATTTGACCGCGGTAGACCCATACCAGAACAATTATAGGGACTAGAGATCGGATAAAAATTACGTATAATGAAGTTGTGATATTATTACTGTTCACCTGTACTATACATATAATATGGACGTTATTATATGTTGTGGCCATAACACATCACACATTAGTTGTACTAATTATGACTTGAGTATTTCATAATATCCAATATTATGCAGCACTACGTATATAAACATCAAGTTTATTTATATGGAAATGTATTCATTTTTCATTCATTCTGGAACACAGATTCCACTGGTACCGTCCGTGAAAGGATGGTAAAGAGGGTATTAACCCTCTTTACTATCCCTGATTCCATATATCTCAATATTATTTCAAAATATATTCAAATGTATAATATTAAACTATAACTATTGTGAACTAAATTTAGCTTAACCTAATTCTTTGTTCCCTGCTTAGGCTACTCCCCTTCTGTAACATGTAGAAGCCTTATTTACTCGTATTTAAAAAAATCGCAATAACGGAATTTGCAGGTAACAGAACTTAAGTTTAAAATTTGACTACTCTTTGAAAAATAACCCTGTATAACATGTCCAATGGTTAAATAAATCATAAGATGCCACTAGAATAACTATACTGTTTAGGCCCATGGCAAATTTATCAGACAGAGTCCTCCCTCAATGTGAAAAACTCAACCGACATTATAGTTTTAGTTTCTTTTTAATAAATCACTATGTGTAGGACATATGTACAAATGCTAATAAAAATGTTGTGCGCGTTTTTAGTTTGTTTTCAAGTAACTTTTAATTTAAAAAGTGTATTTGATTTAAATAATAATTTCATTCTAAGTAAAAATGGAATGGACCAAGATGTCATTAATTAAGTCGACTATTTTTCATTAAATCTTTTAAATAAAAGATTGTGTTAATAGAAAATAATTATTTTATCATTACTACATATAGAAAATAAATTTTGCGCACCATATGCGTGGTCATATGCTAACATAATTTATACAAATTATTACAATTATCAGAAAAGGGTTTAAAACCATAAGTTATTATTCATAATCCACAGTTTTTTTCCGCGGGCACTTTAGGATTTAGTTTACAATTTGTAATTGCAATGCTGATAGCTGCATATTGCTAACCTATTTTTGTTTATATTTTTTATACTGAATAGGCACTTACCTTTTTTCCTCGTCGCCACTTGTAACAGTCTGGAATTCACTGGTTCACACACGTACACGTACAAACTCAACTCACGTTTCACTACACATCCACTCTCGCCCGCGGCTCTCGTGATACTGACGCGGTACGCTCGAAACAGTGGACATTTATACTTGTGTTTTAACAGACAATAAAAATGATACTACCTACATTTCGATCTATGAGCATTTTATAATTACATACACTACAGTGCGCGTTTTTCGTTTATTTTCAAGTAACTTTTAATTTAAAAAGTGTATTTTATTGAAATAATTTCATTCTAAGTAAAAATTTTAATTTTTAAAATTTCACTTTTTGGCCTTACTGTAGAGCATAAGTGACGACATCTACGTTCAAATTTCGCGTCATGAATTGCAATTTAGCATCCGTTTCAATAGATGCTAAATTGCGTAACTTAAATATCCCATAGAATTTCATAAATAAGTTTTAATCTATTTTAATTTTTATAATGATCGCTCAGTGCTAGCTGCAGTCACAGGAATTGTAGTGAAACCTTACAAGTTTTCTTATAGATGACTTCATTATTTCGTGTCTAAAGATGGATCAAAACCTGAGATTTTTTATGTAAATTAACAAATTGGTGAATGTATTTTTTATTTAAAGATACCACAAATGTGTAGACCCTTTTCACTGGAAATGAGGAATTCCATCCTATTCCTCAGGGGTTACAATCCATCTGCATTATGATTCTTAATTGAGGATATATTTATGTCCATAGACCACAGTATCCACTTACCGCCAAGTGGAATGTGTCCTAGTTTGTCTTTCTTTATTCTTTGTAGGAAGATAAAGGTTGTGTTAGCACAAAATTTTAAAATACTTCATATTAGTTTGCGAGCTTTAACACTATGTACAAGATGCCTTATAAAACTCGGTGATATCTTTTTTTTACCAAATGCATTCAAATTTTGAAATGTAATGCTGTTTATTTTTTTATGTACTTTAGTATGTAATGTAAATTAATAGATTACAAAACTAATCAACTTTACAAAATTTTGGAATATGTTAAGTCTTTGTTATCTGGGGGCACGACAGTGCCCCCGCCAAGTCGAGCAAAAAAGCGGCACGGCCGTACCATATTTTTCTCGAAGGAATTCAGGCCATTTTCGGCCCCCTATAACTTCGTAGTGGATAAAACTAGAAGCCTGTATTTTCAGTAACCAAGTAGATATTGTATTAACATGGTATATTTCAAATTTAATTCAATTTGAACTAGTATTTCAAAAAATATAACTACTCAAAGTTTCCTAATTTTGTCACTCACTGACTGACCGATCATCAAAACTCTAAGGCACTTCTAGCAGACATAGAAGCTTCAAATTTAGAATACAATTAGTGTTTAGTGTATAAATCAAGAGAAAACTAAAATATTTTTAATTTCGGTCCAGTTTTTTAGATAAACCAACTGCATAAATAACTTTGTATTCCCATATAATAAATATATAGAATAACAAAGTTACATTTGCAGTGAATGAGTTATTTATATGTTGGTATTCAAGAAGTAGAAGTATGGAAAGGAAAAAGTAGATATTTTAGGAAAATTTTGCTTTAGTAAAAGAATGATTTCAAGGGGAGCCCATTTTAAATTAACTCTACGATATCGAGAAATTCTGTATTGTTCATGAGTACCGTGTTTTTTTAATAAAATTAGAATTAGCTCCCTTTCTGGTCAATCGATGCTCGATGGATCCTTTTCTTTTGAACTCTTCGTTTTACCCTTATTGAATATAAAACATATTAGGTACCAATATTCAAAATTTAACTTACACTAAGTTCTTTAGACAAAATTTAAACAGAAATAAAAATGCGTGACTCCAAAATCCCGGCACATGGGTAAAAAGAAACATGAAACGTCAAACGTGATACATTTTTTTTAAATTGTATAATTTTATTTTCCATGTACAATATTTTTGAGGGTCTGAATCCAACCCTGGCCTAATCTTGGTAACGTAACTAAACTAACTGTAAAATAAAACTTTATAAATGCGTTTATATAATAATTTAATTGTAACAAAATTAATATAAGGTTATTTACCGATGATACGATATCCCATGTTTCTCTTATCTTTGTATTGTAATTTTTGCATTCTTTTACCACGCAACTAGACATATTTGTGACAGGCAAATCTGTCCTGCGCGCGCACCACTGTCGACCGATTCGCGTTGGCCCGAAACTGTAATTTTAGGGCCAACGCATTGGTCCGTTTTAATGCCTTGCTGCTAGTAGTAATTGAATCTTTAATAACGTTAAAATACCTTCATTATTTAAAAACTGAGTATTTTATACAAAGTATAAAATACTCAGTTTTTATAATGAATTTTAATAATGATGGGTCTTTGTTATACAGTTGAATTTATTTTAGGTATATAGGTGGCCATGCTGAGAATCGTGCTTGTGTAACTGAGGCCCTGACGACAGCACTAGCCTGCTTTGATGAGTTGGGTCGCACAGATTTACCAATACACATATTATTGTTATGTTGCTCGCCGCCTTTTTCTGCATATGCTGGAGGATTGGTTCCACCGGGTAAGTTATTATGTATGTATAATTTTTTATTGTCCTTTCGGATATCGAAATATCTTCGGGTTGTGCGTGCGTCCGTGTGCGCGTGCGCGCGTGCGTGCGTGAACGTGCGCGTGCGTGTGCGTGTGCGAGTGCGTGTGCGTGTGCGCGTGCGCGTGACCGTGCGCGTGCGCGTGCCCGTGCGCGTGCGCGCGTGTACGTGCGTGTGTGTGCGCGTGCGCGTGCGTGTGCGTGTGTGTGTGTGTGTGTGTGTGTGTGTACGCGCGTGCGCGTGTGCGAGTGTGCGTGTGCGCGTGCGCGTGTGCCCGTGTGCGTGTGCGCGTGCGCGTGCGCGTGTGCTCGTGCGCGTGTTCGCGTGTGCGTGTTTACGTGCGCGTGTGCGCGTGTGCGTGTGCTTGGGCGCGTGTGTGCGTGTGTGTGTGCGCGTGTGTGTGTGCGCGTGCGTGCGTGCGTGTGCGCGCGTGCGTGTGCGCGTGCGCGTGTGCGCGTGATTGTCGGTGCGCGTGTGCGCGATAGTCTATAAATTACAATGACTATAGTATCCTTACATATTTTTAGAAGAATACAATTACAATCTGATATTGACAACTCCTGCCAGGTTGTATTCAAAGATTTTTTGAAATACAGCACTACACCCTCATTTTGGGTTGCGTTATTAAGAGTTTTACAATAGTTATAGCCATCAATTATCGGAATATAATGGGTGGACGGCAACCAACATTCTGCAAGAAGAATTAAGTCCCATTCTAAAGCTGACCTATGTGCAATGTTTGTTGCATGCTTGCAATGTTTTGATGCATTATTTTTAACTTATGATTTAGATCAGATATTAACCTAGACAAATTATCCAGGTCGTTAAGTAGTGATGTTTGATATTGGAAATTGGTCAATATCGTCGCTTAAGTCTTTTGTGTTATCGCCTTTTAATTATATTAGTAATTGAGTACAAAAAGTTAAATTGTGTGCAAAAAAAGTGTGATTAGGGATGCTGTTGCCCATGGACATCCACATCTATGCTCTATTATATTACAGATCAAAATGCAAATGCATTGTCACCTGTAAGATGGAATGCCTCGTTTCAAGTAAAATGGATCTCCGGTTCTCTACACTCACCATGCAAAACACAGCAGCATAAAGGTGCTGCTATTTTACGCTGGGATTCTATGAGAGCGTGGTCCTTCCACGGTCGAGACGACCCATTCGTGCTGCAGGTATACTACTAATATAACTGCATCATGGCTCTACCATATATTCCTTGGTTTTGGGCAATCTTAATTATATGTAAAACATTATCATCAGCCTGCTGCAGTCCACTGCTGGTCATAGGCCTCTCCCAAGGCGCGCCACTTAGCCCGATCTTTGGCTTCACGGATCCAGTTGCTGCCAGCCGCCTTGCTCCGATTGTCGCTCCATCTAGCCAGGGGGCGTCCCACACTACGTTTACCTAAACGCGGTCTACACTCTATGACACGCCTACTCCAACGGTTATCGCTTCTGCGATAAATGCGAACAGCCCATTGCCACTTCAGCCTGCAAATACAGAAGGCTAAGTCGGTGACTTTGGTTCTCCGGCGGATTTCTTCGTTACGAATCTTATCCACCAGAGGAATTCCGAGCATAACTCTTTCCATCGCGTGCTGAGTGACTTTGATTTTGTGGAGTAGTCGTACTGTTAGTGTCCATGTTTCGGCACCATATATGAGTACTGGCAGGACGCACTGGTAGAAGACTTTCATATTCAAGCTTTGCGGTATGGGCGACGAGAAGACCTGACGAAGCTTCCCGAACGCTGCCCAGCCTAACGGAATTCGCCTATCGGCTTCTTTCTCGAAGGTGTTTTTATCGATCTGAATTATCTGGCCGAGGTAGATATACTCCTGAACAACTTCACGAATTTTGCCATTAACGATTATCGGATCTGGTATGACATTACTGTTAAACATGACTTTCGTCTTATTTAAATTCATACGCAGACCGACACGTTGGGAGGATTCATTTAGGCTGCTCAGCATGTCTTGTAGTTCCTGCAGCGATTCTGCCGTGACGACGATATCATCGGTAAAGCGTAGGTGTGAAATGTGTTCGCCGTTTAAATTGATGCCCCGTCCATTCCAGTTAAGCGTCTCAAAAAAACATCTTCCAGTGCATTTGTGAACAGTTTCGAGGATATTGTGTCCCCCTGTCTCACTCCACGATGCAACTGGATAGGTTTTGTAAGACCACCCTGTACTTGGACGGACATCGAGCTTGTACTGTTTAAATGTCTCAAGACATTCTATATATCACCAGTTAATCCGGCAACGCTGCAAGAAATTTATAACAGCCCAAGTTTCGATGGATGGATGGCTTTCTCATAGTCCATAAAGGCCAGACAGAGGCTGATTATACTCATTCGTCTTCTGTATAATTTGCGTTACTACGTGAATTTGGTCTGTGGTGCCATAGTCTCCTCATAACCCAGCCTGCTCGGGTGGTTGAAACAGAGAACTCTATTGACGAGGAAGCCCACTCCACCCTGGAAAGATCATGTCCCTCATGATAGTAGAGTAGTTAGCCTGATTCCAGGATTAGCGTATCCTCCCTCCCTCTCTCTTCGAATTTCACGCAACCCCAAGAACGTGCCATCTTACATTTTTCAACTCGACTTCTAATTCTGAAATGTTCTCGTCGTGCCGCGGAGTTCGTCCATTGTACGTCGTCAGGTCCAGTTTGTGGCGGTATCCGGCCTTCTCCCGGGGATTCTTAGCACCTCCTGTCCCACTGCTGCCATGATCGCCACCACGGTCAGGTACATAGGGACGACCGGGAACTGGCGGCCGTGTTGTTTTGGTGCTTAACACTGGGAGGTTTTGCCCTTAATCGCCACGCTGAGCATGCGGGTTGGCGATCGCAATATCTGACACGTCACACCTGTGATGCTGCTGCCCGTCACAGACCTGGATATTTTTGGCCTGACCAGAGAACTGAGATGGTTGTTTCGCCATCTGTCGGATGCCAAAGCTTGTTCTCTTTTGTATTTTTGGCTTACCCTTAGTCGCCTCGTACGACACCCACGGGCAGAGAGGGAGCGGCAAGATTCTAATATGAAGCATCCTTGTATATGCAGATAAAGTGAGCCCATCAAACAACTATGCCACCTAAAAATGTATGTACATAACACAATACATTAACTCTGTCCTGTCCAATGAATCATATATGAACATTTCGATTGTTAAACTAATGTGTCTGTTTCGTGGACAGGGAAACTGTTAATGTTGTGTTACTCTGATTTTTGCCAGTGTTAGTACATTGTTTGAGTTGTTTTTATGTTTTGGGGATTACGCAGCTATAAGTGATTGTTATTACAATAATTTATAGTTTATATGAAATAGAGTGAATGGGGGCCTACAATTATGTACCTGGTAGAACCATGCAGGAGTTATATTAGAAGTATAGTTGTAGCACGAATGGGTCGGCTCGATCGGGGAAGGACCACGCTCTCACAGAATACCAGCGTAAAATAGTAGCTTAATGCTGCTCTGTTTCGTATGGTGAGTGTAGAGAACCGGAAACCCTTTTTACTGGAAACGAGGCATTCCATCTTAGTCCTCATGGATGACAACGCATCTGCATATCGATTCGTAATCGAGGATAGATGTAGATGTCTATGGGCCACAGCAACCATTTACCATCAGGTGGACTATGTGCTCATTTGTCAACCTATCTATCTATCTATCTATCTAAATGCATGGCTATTCTTAATGCTGTGCTAGTCCCTACTTTAACATGTGGTAGTGAAAGTTGGGTGTGGCAGAAGCATGAGAGCAGAATAAACGCTGTAGAAACTCAGTCGTTAAGGAGTATGTTAGGGCTGAATCTGAGTGTCAGGGTGAGAAAATGTGTGATAAGAGAAGAGTGTGGTTTGCAAGATGATGTTGTGACCAGGATTAAGAAAAATGAACGAGGAAAGCGTGACTAAGCAAATTACCCTTAACCGTCGAGCATGTATGCGTAGGTATATGGATGTAGAGGAGGCGAGAGAGGTGTGTCAGGATTATGCTAAATGGAAGTCCTTAGTCTCTCCCTACCCCTCTGGATGACAGGCGTGAGTGTTTATGTAGTGCAGTTTGTTTATACTATTGTGTAGTGGCGTGTAGAGTTGGCGTAGGGGAATCCAATTTCCTATCCACAGTACGCGCACGCACGCGCACACACACACACACACACACACACACACACACACACACACACACACACACACACACACACGCACGCACGCACGCACGCACACACACGCACGCACACACGCACACACTCACGCACACACACGCACACACACGCACACACACGCACACACACGCACACACACACACACACACACACACACACACACACACACACACACACACACACAGACACACACACACACACGCACACACACACACACACACACACACACACACACACACACACACAAACATACAGAGAACGACTCTGAATCGGCTATCTCTGTACTAGTGAAGTATGAAGTGACAGAGAAAGATGAAAGAGGGGTTGAGCAGCAGCATCTTCTCAATAACAACTCAAAATAATAAAAAACTTCCATTGCCAACCCAACTGCCAAGCATGGCAACTGTGGCGAATATCCCCCTGTGAGTAATCTATGGGGGAGGCCTATGATTAGTAGGCAACTCTTGACAGGCTATAATAATTTAATGAATGAATAAAATGGTCAATGTTGAGGACTGACCCATGGTGGAAACATTTTTATTAATAGCCTAACATTTGTTAGATGTATATCTTCTGTCCAGATATTTTACATCTCACATATATAAGAGTATACTAACGTCTATCGGAAGCCTTTTTAACCTTTGAAAGCCAGACCTAACCTAACATGATCTACCTTGCAATTCCCGCAGAGTGGTGATTAAACAAAGCGTCAACAGTGCTAAGATATTGATGGTCACCTAACTGCTTGCCCTGCTGGTGAGTGTGGGCGAACTTTCACGTTATAGATATGCCAATTGGCACAAAAATAATGTTTGTTTGTTCGTATTTTATGCGCTGCGATACCGTTTATATTAAAGTAAAGTAAAAAGTTACAGCCTATATACGTCCCACTGCTGGGCACAGGCCTCCCCTCATTTCTAAGAGGGTTTTTAGGGCAAGGAAGTGTCCGCCGCGCTGCCCCAATGCGTGTTGTCGAACTTCACATGTCTTCGAAATGTTTTTTTTCTTATTCCTCGGACATGCAGGTTTCCTCACGATGTTTTCCTTCACTGCCGAGCACGTGGTAAATAAGCACTTAAAATTGCAATTAACAATTTCATTGGTGCCGGCGGGGATCGAACCCAGGTTACTCGCGTTTTGTTATATATACAGCGCGCGTTAACCATCTGACCTACCACGGCTCATATCATATAACTTATCCAAATTTAAAACGATATTTTCACAATTATTTCTTCTACAGCAGCGACGCGCAGGGACTAACTAGTGTTATGTAGAAAAGTTGCCACTAGTTCTCAGGTATCACCGTCCTCAAGAGTGACATGGCATCTGCAATGCAATTCTAAAATATCGACAGATCATTACGGTGTTATAAAAAATGACGTTCAGAGAGTGAAGTTGTCAGTAAATCCAATCCTATAATTATCAGGATATACGCAAAGTTAAAGATATAGCCTATAAAAATTGTTGCTAAAGGTGCTCCAGCGACCATAGAGCAAGCAGCTCGTTTAGTGGCCGAGCGGGGTGCACAACTCTCTATAGCATCTGCGAAGCGGTTGCCCGCTTTGTTGGCACTCTATGAACATGCAGGCGGCGAACTTCATCAAGCACAACAGAGGAACTATGCCAAGGTAAGAACTGGTAATAACGTTAGTACGACAACTGCTTAGATCTTGACATTGATTGGGCACTCGAGCTGTTAGCGACTCAAAGATTATAAATAAACAAGTAATGATTTCTTAAATTTACGCGAACACTACACATTGAATAAAACTAAATTTACTGATTTTATCGCATTTATTTCACTACTTTTACTTATTTTTAATTCCCGACGTTTCGGGTGCTTTACAGCAACCATGGTCACGGGGGGGGACTGAGATGTTTGACGTCCCAATGTCATAGTTAGTCCGGCTACCTTCAGTTTTTGAATATTAATTTTTGGTCCGATTTACGCAAAACGAGCTTATAGTATCATGAAGTCTTGCAGTGGTATGCTTAGGTTTGGGTTTAATTTTGTTAATTATAGGATCCCAAGCAGGTGGCAGCACCCATCCATCTTCTCTATTGAAATTTGGATGTTTTTTAATTTCAATAGCCTCGCGTATCATCCTTGGTAGGAATCGGTGTTCTTTTGCGAGAATTTGTGGTTTATCAAAACGAATGTAATGGTGGGGACGATCTTGAACATGATCGCAGACTGCAGACTTCCCGGAGCGTCGGTGCTTCACGTCAGCTATATGTTCTTTCACGCGGGTTTTTATGGATCTTTTTGTTTGACCTATGTAAGAGAGACCACATTCACAATCTAACTTGTACACTCCTGCATCTTGTAGAGGGATATTACACTTCACGCATGGTAAAAATTGACTAATCTTCTTCGGCGGCTTGTAGTATGTTTTAATAGAAGCTCGCTTCAAGAAGTAGCCAACCTTGTCTGTGACTCCTCTGACATATGGTAGTACAGCAGGTACACGCTCGACTGTGGCCGGCTTCACTCGGTCACTGTGACGTAGGCGCGGGACCCGAAGCTTGTTGTCTTGCAATACTTGCTTGACGTGCTGAAGTTCGGCGGCCAGATGTTTTCTGTCACAGATCCCTCGTGCTCTCTGAAACAAAGATTTACCCACGGTAGCTAACTGTGAAGGATGATGGTGAGATTCACCATTTAAATATCGGTTGGTATGGGTCTTTTTTCTATACACAGTGTGACCAATTGTGTTATTAGGATTCCGAATGACTAAAACATCTAAGAAAGCTAAAGAATTATTTGCCTCTAACTCCATTGTGAATTGTATTTTAGAGTTTATAGAGTTAAGGTGGTTTAAAAATGCAGTTACTTTGTCAGATGGTAAAATTGTGAAAGTGTCGTCTACGTACCGCTTGTAGAATCTTGGATTTACAGGAGCAGTAAGAAGGGCTTTCTCCTCGAAGTCCTCCATGAATATGTCAGCGACTATGGGAGATACAGGTGAGCCCATCGCCACACCATCTACTTGCTTGTAGAACTCTTCCTTCCACAATAGATAGCCAGATGTGAGGCAGTGTTTGAGTAATACTGCATATTCAGCAGGCATGTTATTATATTCTAGCTTCCTAGTTACAATTGATATGCAGTCTTCAATAGGTAGGCATGTGAATAGTGACTGAACATCAAAACTGACCATAGTTTCATTGTCAGCGAGATGTAGGTCTTTTATCTCACTAACAAAATGGTATGAATCCTTTGTGTGTGCTCTGGTATGTCCTCTCAGTACAATTACAATATAAAATTATTATAAGTGTACAAGTTAGATTGTGAATGTGGTCTCTCTTACATAGGTCAAACAAAAAGATCCATAAAAACCCGCATGAAAGAACATATAGCTGACGTGAAGCACCGACGCTCCGGGAAGTCTGCAGTCTGCGATCATGTTCAAGATCGTCCTCACATTCGTTTTGATAAACCACAAATTCTCGCAAAAGAACACCGATTCCTACCAAGGATGATACGCGAGGCTATTGAAATTAAAAAACATCCAAATTTCAATAGAGAAGATGGATGGGTGCTGCCACCTGCTTGGGATCCTATAATTAACAAAATTAAACCCAAACCTAAGCATACCACTGCAAGACTTCATGATACTATAAGCTCGTTTTGCGTAAATCGGACCAAAAATTAATATTCAAAAACTGAAGGTAGCCGGACTAACTATGACATTGGGACGTCAAACATCTCAGTCCCCCCCGTGACCATGGTTGCTGTAAAGCACCCGAAACGTCGGGAATTAAAAATAAGTAAAAGTAGTGAAATAAACGCGATAAAATCCGTAAATTTAGTTTTATTCAATAAACAATTAGTTTAATTTATATTGGTGGGTATATTTTCATGGTTTTTTTAATGATTTAGTTGACTAAAAAAGCTTCCCTATCTACCTAACTTATTTGTAATCTATCAAATATTTACCATACTTAATTAATCTTAATAATAAACTTATTTAATCTTGAAAAGTAGTCTGCATTTGCATGTTCTGTTGTCGTCCTTTTATATCATAGTCAAATCCTGCTAAGAAGTTTGCGTAGTGCACAAGCCTAATTGCTGTGGTAGGTGGTGTAGCTTTTTCTGGATGTAAAATTCTAGACAAGGGTTGATTGTCAATAATCAATGTAATTTTTTCTTCCATAGCAGTATTGGAAGAACTTCTTTAGTCCCCATATTAACGCTGCTGCTTCTTTATCAAGTTGGCTGTAACCTCCCTCAGCTTTAGTTAGGGATTTTGATGCAAATGCTATGGGCGTTCACTCTTGTCTGGCATAATGTGTGATAACACAGCTCTAAATCCAGTAGGTGATGCGTCTGTAGCAAGGGTAACAGGCAAGCTCTCATGAAATGGTATTAACACTTTTTCTCCACAAATTTCATCTTTTAACTCTTTGAAAATTTTCTCACATTCTTTGGTCCACATAAAATTTTTATCTTTCTGTAATAGATTGTAAAGTGGATTTAACTTTGATGCTAGATTTGGAATGAACTGTTGATAACAATTGATCATTCCCAAAAAGGTACCTAGAGATTATATATCAGTGGGCCGTGGGCTATTCTTGATATCGTTAATCTTATCTTGAGTAGGATGTAATCCATTTTCATTAATATTATGTCCCAGGTAAGTTACTGACTTTTGGAGAAATTGACATTTCTTTAAATTTAGATGTAGTCCACATTTCTGTAATTTCTCGCAAACTGTTCTGATTCTTTGTAACAATTGAATGTATGTACTTCCCTGTATAGCTATATCATCAAAAAAAAAAAAAAAAAAAGACAGGCTACACCATCTATTCCTTTTAGCGTTTGATCCATGTACCGTTGCCAAACATTTGGTGCTTCCTTAACACCAAACATTACTCTTTTCACTTTATAGGTACCCTTATATGTACTGATGGCTTGCATCTCTGCTGTCTCATCACTGGTTAACATGTGTAGATATGCTTGATTAATATCAAGTGTACAGAAGTACTTTCCACCACTCAATTTTGAAAAGATTTCTTCTATTCTTGGAATAGGATAATTGTCATTTTCAAGATTTTTATTTAAAGTTGCTCTATAGTCTGCACATAAACTTACCTTGCCATTTTGTTTAATTACGGGGACTACAGGTGTACCCCATTGTGAGTAAATGACTTTTTCAAGAATGCCTGCTTTTTCCAAAAAGAAATTAATAGAGGAGACAGAGTACAGATCAGAATGTATGACAGCAATAAATGGAAATTCGGAAAGATTATAAACAGAAGAGGAAAACTACATTATGAGGTAGAGGTAGATGGAAGGATACACCATAGACATGTGGACCAAATCATCAAAACCTTGTATACTAGTGAAAACCCTTACATACCAGTTACCTATCAGCTAAATTCTAGATATCTGCAAGAAGCCATACCTACAGAAAACAACCCTAAAATAGAGGAAACTCCACAATCTAGTCCTGTACAGATGAAGGATCTGCCGATGCAAGAACAACAGGAACAAGAACCGAGGCAACCTACATTACCTGAAAATTCTACACCGTAAACCGACACGACCGGAAAGAGATCAGGCGCAGGACCAACGGCTTTACGTGTTTTCCGAGGCACGGGGGTGAGACACCGCCAACTTTCTGACTCCGGGCATGTACTGAGAATTTCTTGACGGAAAAATTCAATAGTTAATTTTTGGGCCCGACCCGGGATTCGAACCCAGGACCTCATGATCAGCAATCGCATTACTACAGCCACTAGACCAACGAGGCAGTAGTAATAGTTGTAGTAGTATGTAGTTATGGAATTGTAACATTTATAGCTTACTATATCTACTAGGCTTACTAGGCCGTAACAATTCAACCCATCCGTAAACATTAATCGATTGAGTGTGTATGTCTAAGTATTTATTCTTAAGTCCGGATCTCCAGGAAAACTGCAAAAATTGTTTATGGAAATGAAAAATATCAAAAAAAGTACCAATAGTAGTAAGTAATACAGTATTGGTAAGCCGACACAAAGCAAGCGCGAAATCGGATGAAAAAGTATGAACATACATATTTTTTTTACTTTTAACACGAAATGGGTCTACCCAACCCTTTGTGAGTAGTGGGGAGTGAGGTTAATATATAGTATATTTTTTAGTAATGAAGAAGATCGAATCTAAAAACTTTATTGCAAATTTTAATGTTATCCTATAGAGTAGAGGGAACAAATTTACATAGTTTACAAATTTTTCATTAAGCCGAGTACAAATTTAAAAGCGACAATATTTTCCGGCTTATCGGTATTTGTAAAATTTTGTTACATCTCTAGTGCTTCCAGTATCTGTAGTGTTTGACACGTCAATATTTCTTTATTGGTAACGTCAAAAGAGATGTGTTGACATTTATACGTGTGAATTGATATATTAGTGTCATATGCATATGGCTACACGGGCTCCGCCCACTTCCCCTTTCTATTGTATATGTATTATAGTATTCTGTGATTAAAACTAATTCAATGCAGTACTGACTTACTTAAAGTGATTACGTGACTACGATCAGTTCTATAATGCATTTTATTCTAAATTCAACGGCTTATATGGCATGGTCAAAACAATGTCCGTTGACTGAAAGTATGACGCCTTTGTTTGACCAGCAATAACAATTATACAGTGGAGTCAGTGTCTTCTGTAACATTGTACAATTCGTGAACAACAGGTTATTGTAAAATTATGTATATAAATATCGTGTTTACGAGTAATCAAATACCGAAAGCTTAGTCAGAGCAATTTGAGACCAATGGGTTGTTATGATGTTGCCGACTTTACTTCTAGACTGTATGTTGACTGACTGACTGTATGTTACTTCAGACTGTATAACTAGGTATGTAAACAAATTCAAAACAAGTTACGACCGGCAAACAAAGCGACACGCACAGGTTCGTGGATCCCGCCGCGCGTTCCGTCTCGTTCTTGCAACCACAGATGACTAATAATAGGCTGCAATTCGATTCACGCAAAAATCGCTGATAGCGCTCGGCTCACATTCCCGTTCCGAATTACCCGTTCTCTGATGGGCCATTTTATATTTCAATAGTGTGCAATAAATTTGGAACACCAGATTGGGTAATCGCAAAGGCCCGGCGGGCCGCACATTGAGTATAGCTCCTTTATTTAGTGGGCGATCGGTTATGGTTCCTCTACAATGCGGTTGGTGATATGTGGTTGCCACATGATAAAATCTTATCCCATACACTTAATATTTCACTCATATTTATAAATGTGGTATAATTGTTCAATATGAGTGAGACCGAACTTTGCTGGGCGTTAGAAACAAACATAATTTTCTCAGGGATAAAATCCAGATAAACTTCGAAAGTAAAAACATTCTTTTTTTTTTTGAGAAATCAATTACAACACACATATATATATACAAGATTTTTTTACTTTTAATAGTGAGTCCCTCTGGGGCTCTACCAAATACTTTAACAATTATTTATTTTAATATTAAAAATATGATCCCTGAATTGCAACCATTTCCTCAGGATCCGCGACACCTAGTATTATTACGTGGATACAGTTTGAAGGAGAGACCGCCCAGCCCCGCACCGCCGCCTGCCCCGGACATACAAACAGACATATACAGGTGAGTTGTCATAAAGAAAGCAACATGTACAGGGTGAAATGAATGGGGAATGAAATAAAATCTATTTTTTTAAGGAGGAAATTACTCCTCTCCGTTTTTTAGATATCACTTTCCGTGTGCTTATCAGTTGTGCTGTGTGGTGGCGACCTAAGAGATTCCCCTATCCCATTCATCCCATGGGTGTGTTAAGAAATGCGGAGGGCAGCTGAAACAGAAAATCTGCAATCTCCCTACCAATCGTGATAACCTATAGTTAATATCTCCTCTATGTTCAGCGATGTATTTGTAAAGGAAGAACGCTTTATTAAATTTTCCTTCAGTTATTGGGTTTTATCTGTGAAGAATTTTTCAATTCTATCCTTCGGAAAGCATATAAAGCTGTAAATTCTGCACCTAATCTCTCTCCATTCGTGTTGGATTGCCTTAACATTGGATTAGAAGAGTGAGGGCATGCCTATGAACTAGGTTGAAGAGTGTCAGGTTTCTAAGTGTATGGTGTGGTGTACAGTCAGCAGCGCGGGGCCCGGCGTCTGCGTACTAAGAGTGTCAGGTTTCTAAGTGTATGGTGTGGTGTACAGTCAGCAGCGCGGGGCCCGGCGTCTGCGTATGCCTAGTTCATACGTTGGAGAGTGTCAGGTTTCTAAGTGTATGGTGTACAGTCAACAACGTGGGGCCCGGCGTCTGCATAGCCTAGTTCATACGTTGGAGAGTGTCAGGTTTCTAAGTGTATGGTGTGGTGTACAGTCAGCAGCGCGGGGCCCGGCGTCTGCGTATGCCTAGTTCATAGGTTGGAGAGTGTCAGGTTTCTAAGTGTATGGTGTGGTGTACAGTCAGCAGCGCGAGGCCCGGCGTCCGTGTATGCTGAGTTCATAGATTGGCGAGTGTCAGGTCTCCAAGTGTAGCGTGTTGTGTGTACAGTGCGCAGCGCGGTGGGCCGGTGGCGCCGCGGGCGGCGGGCGCGCAGTTCGTGCGCGCGACGGGCGTGCGTGCGGGTTGGCTGGCGCCGCCGGGCCCGCGCCAGCCGGTCTACGCCAACAACTCCGCGCTGCTCACGCAGCTGGCGCAGCCCTCGTACCCGCCGCCGCCGCCCGCACACGCCGCACAGGTCACACTCCATACATTTACTAACGACTTGCCTTCTACTACTACTGGAACTAAAATATAAATAAAAAAACACATAGTCATGTGCCACGCTAGCGCGACGCGTCTTGCGTCTGCGATGAGCGGGGAAAAATAACAATACCAGACGAATGGGAGATGCCACGTTGGCGCGTCTGGCGTGCGCGTCATGCGACCGCGACCGACGCAAGTCATAGTACGTGTTCGCGCGTCTTGCGTATTAATCGAAATAATGTCTCGGTCTGCAACATGGTCCAGTAAGCATTAAAAATTATAAGCATAATATTATATTTCTCAAAACTTGTGTGGGTGGGACGTATTTCATCATACAGTCTACGATTTTCACCAAACTATTTTAGTTTAAATCATGAACTCCTATTTTAATTTGCATTATATGTTATGAAAAAAAACTACTCCCTTCTAGACGAAAGTGCCGATTTAGAGAGCCTCGCGCAAAAATAGCAGGAAGAAATCACATGCCATGCAGCGGCCTCAACGTGGCATACTATAGCGACAAGTCGCATCACTCCTCCCCCCTCCGTAGGTTGCCTCCGCTCCCCGCAATCGCTCTAGCGTGGCCAACGCCTTACTTTACCAAGTTTTCCTATTTTTTAATTGTTTCGTATAAAATGTAGCTAGATTACTCCTGGTATTACTCACTATGTGATCGTAAAGTTTCATCGCAATCAGTTGAGCCATTCCGAAGATAAACCCGAACAGATTAACAGGCAAAACTTACTATTATTGATGTCTCAATAGCGTTCAAATATTACAAACAGACACTTCATTGTTATTTATATGTATAAATTACAAAGGTCATATGTAACGTTCATGTCACGCGTATGCTTCACTCGAAATTGTTGACGAGTATGTTTCCCTGTGATAAACTGTCCGATTAGGTAACTCCAACTTTGTCCAAGAGGTCCATCGACAAAGAACTCGACATGGCACCGTTCAGGAAATTGGGCCACATCTTCTCAGATAATCCCGTCATTTTTTATAGGATGGGGTGACAAACGAGCACATGGTCCACCTGATGGTTAGTGGTTGCTGCGGCCCATAGACATCTACATCTATCCTTGATTACAGATCAAAATGCAGATGCGTTGTCACCCGTGAGGACTAAGATGGAATGCCTCGTTTCCAGTAAAATGGGTCTCCGGTTCTCTACACTCACCATACGAAAAACAGCAGCGTTAAGCTACTATTTCACACTGGTATTCTGTGAGAGCATGGTCCTTCCCCGGTCGAACCGACCCATCCGTGCTACAACTGTACTTCTAATATAACTGCAGCTGCAGAGAAAGAAATCTGCAACAACCTCACCCTAAGAAGTCGACCCGCGATCCAGACACGCTTTCCGTTCGCTTGTCGCATAGGAAGAGAGCAGAAGCGCAAGCAAAAATGACAATGGCACTAAGAGAACTAGAACTGGCAGAAGCTCGGTCAAAAGTTGCTCAAGCAGAAATGGAACTTCTCACCGCAGAATCAGAAGAGGAAGATGGTGCCGGAGAAGAGCTGTTCGAACGAACACGAGAAGTCCAACGATGGTTCATCCAGACCGGGGATAAGAACCACAAAACCATAGAGGCAGAATCGCTCTACCACGTATAAATATAGCGCTAACAAAAAAGATCTCGTTATATATAGCGCTAAACTTGAAAACAAACTTGTACAACCAGCGCATGTTGCCAGTAATGACGCATTCCTTCTTTATTGTCCGTATAAAGAAATTCGAGGTTCTGACGCAAGCTATGAAAAGACCTTGCATATGCGGCAGCCTCATGCCGGTATGCGAAGAGTAAGACAGCCCCCCATTAGATAGAGTGACGATCTGGTATGAGTTGCAGGAAGTCAATGGATGCAGGACCGTGCTTTGTGGCATTCCTTGTGGTAGGTCTATGTTCAACAGTGAACTTGTGATGCTTTAATGGTGTTAAATGGACAAGCTTTAATGGTGACGACGATGTAAAATAAGAAACCATAACGTTAAAAAATATTTCATTGAGTGTATTCACGACATTTTGTGCCAACAGGGCGACACGAAATATTTGTAAGATATTTGAGAGATTTTATAGCGGGGGAAGTAGGAAAGGTATAGGTATGGAGGACTGTCTCTGTGTATGAAAGTGTCCGACGAAATGCGTTACAGTAAAGTGGCACCACAATAGCAGCAGGGTAAATTTTGAACTATGTAATTATTTTTAATTAATAAATTTTTGTTCAAAATTAGAGAACAAAAGTTCAGAGAACAAAACAAAATGATAAAAAATAATTCACAAGTGTCAATTTTAGGATGAAAAAGTATAACAACAAATCATAAAAAAGTTTGAAAATATTTTAATTGGCATAAAAAAAATTTATCTTAAAAATATTTTTTTTTTTTACTCGGCACACTTCGATCCTAGATAGAACCGCTAAGAGCCGTGGTAATTCAGGGACTAAGCGCTCACTGTAAATTTCGTAGTACGCGAGCAACCCAGGTTCGATTCCCGTCGGCACCAATGAAATTGTGAATTGCAATTTTAAGTGCTGATTTACCAAGTCCTCCGCGTTGAAGGAAAAAATCGTGAGGGAACCTCCATGTCTAAGAAATAGAAGAAAATTTTTTTCGAAGACGTGTAACGTTCTCCAACACGCGATATTTCCCTGCCCTAAAACCCTATCAGAAATGAGAGGAGGCTTGTACCCAGCTGTGGGACTTATATAGGCTATAAACTATAACTTGAAACAACTGCTATATTCATACCATACCCTGTATCTTTGCAAGCGCCATTCTGAAAGGTTTTTGCACTGTTTTTTACAACTTACATTTGGACACTTTTTCCTCTTGTGCCCCATATAAGATAGTCCTCCTTATAGAGTGGAGGACCCTTCATGAGGGGAAGTTAATTTATTCGGAAAATGTAAGGGTTAACGTTTATTTTAAATATATATATTAATAACTTCAGATCCAATCGGCGACCTCTGGCGACCAGAAATTAGCTCTCATTAGCCAAACTCCAGAACGAATTTCGTTCAGTTCTCAACGTGTACGTACGTACGTGTACGTGTACGTGTGTACGAGTGTGTGCGCAAGCACAGGTGCACTCAGTATTCCCTCACACTCGTATCTCTGTTGGGACTTTGATTCGACACGTGCTTTCTGAGGCACGGAGATTAAACACCACCATATAACTTTCTTGCAAGTGCAAACAATAAGTTGACAGTTTAACCGCAAACTGATAAAAGGTATGACAACTCATAAAATATGAACAAACAAGCATTAATTTTTATACAGGGTTATTTTACAATAATTGGCCAAATTTGCAGAGAAGGTTCAGAATAAGTAATATAGATATAGGTGAAGAAAAATTAGTTAAAAAATTCTCAAATATTCTGTCATTTTTATCTTTTAAATTCAAAATGCGTAGTAATGCATTATTTTTACCGACTTCAAAAAGGCGGAGGTATTCAATTCGACTGTATGTTTTTTTTTGTGTGTTACCTCAGAACTTTTCTCTGGGTGAATGGATTTTGATGATTTTTTTTATTTGAAAGCTGGTGCTTCTCGTGTCCTCAAGATTAATCAAGAGCTGACCAGTAGTTTTTGAGTTATCTTTAGTAATGCGGATTTAATTGACTTCGAATACATTGATGATGTTCTCATTTTAATTATATTGAAGTCGGTTGTACAAAATTTTTAATTTTACCACTTGTAACTTATTTTATTGCGCACACACACATATGAATATCCTTACGTCTCTAAGATGTGTCATTCATTCATTTCTAGTGACCCGATCATTCAAGCATTGTTCGTCTTACGATTACGAACCAGGTCATTCGGGTCGATCAATTAAATGGATCACATCTTTGAATTTCATTATCTTATGATCTGTGAGACACGTTCGATAATGTGGGACATTATTATACTCATTAGTTGTAGGTCTTGTCAATTGTTTGATCCGGAACGTTCAAAAATGTAATAGCAATCATCAATACTTTGATTCTAGTGGTACTTGCACCTGATTTCTCTCTTTGGTCGTGTCAGGTTACTGTTACATCGAGTTATGAGAGTGAGGGAATAGAGAGTGTACCTGTGCTTGCGCATGCATACACTTGGTCTCTATAATCCTTTCCTGCGCAGGTGGCTATACTCCATCGAGACTGGTCGCAGTGACCGAAATTCGGTCTGGATGACATTATTATTACTCCTAGTATAAATTGTCTTGTATTACATTAATGCGTAACTGTTTTTCGTCTCAATAAAATAAAATAAAATAATTCCAGGCGAGCATGCAGCGTATGCCTGGGATGGTGGCGGGTCCGTCAGGCGCCAGTGCTGCGCCGCTGCAGCGCACGTACATCTGGAGCGGCGTGCTCGAGTGGATGGAGAAGGGCAAGGCGCCCGGCGACCAGCAGAAGGTCACCAAGCATCTGCCGTGTCAGGTGAGTAGAGCCCCGCAGCTGTATACTTGCAGCTGCAGCGCACGTACATCTGGAGTGGCGTGCTCGAGTGGATGGAGAAGGGCAAGGCGCCCGGCGACCAGCAGAAGGTCACCAAGCATCTGCCGTGTCAGGTGAGTAGAGCCCCGCAGCTGTATACTTGCAGCTGCAGCGCACGTACATCTGGAGTGGCGTGCTCGAGTGGATGGAGAAGGGCAAGGCGCCCGGCGACCAGCAGAAGGTCACCAAGCATCTGCCGTGTCAGGTGAGTAGAGCCGTGCCGCAGCTGTATACTTGTAGCTGCAGCGCACGTACATCTGGAGCGGCGTGCTCGAGTGGATGGAGAAGGGCAAGGCGCCCGGCGACCAGCAGAAGGTCACCAAGCATCTGCCGTGTCAGGTGAGTAGAGCTGTGCCGCAGCTGTATACTTGTAGCTGCAGCGCACGTACATCTGGAGCGGCGTGCTCGAGTGGATGGAGAAGGGCAAGGCGCCCGGCGACCAGCAGAAGGTCACCAAGCATCTGCCGTGTCAGGTGAGTAGAGCCGTGCCGCAGCTGTATACTTGTAGCTGCAGCGCACGTACATATGGAGCGGCGTGCTCGAGTGCCAATGCATAAAGTAAAGTAAAGTTACGGCTTATATACGTCCCACTGCTGGGCACAGGCCTCCCCTCATTTCTGAGAGGGTTTTAGGGCAAGGAAGTGTCCACCGTGCTGCCCCAATGCCCCAGTTGGCGAACTTCACATGTCTTCGAAATAATTTTTTTTCTTATTCCTCAGACATGCAGATTTCCTCACGATGCTTTCCTTCACCGCCGAGCACGTGGTAAATCAGCACTTAAAATTGCAATTAACAATTTCATTGATGCCGGCGGGGATCGAACCAGGGTTACTCGCGTTCTGTTATATTTACAGCGAGCGTTAATCATCTGAGCTACCAAGGCTCTAGCCAATGCATGCTACAACATTAATATAGCTGCAATATAGCTGGCTTTACCACGGATGCAGGTGGCTCAAGACTGTACTTTGAGGCAATCTGTGGTGGAGGAGTATGTTCAGCTGTGGACTTGTGATGGGTTTTGTAGATATAATAATAGTGATACTGTGAGCTTTTGCTTTTGCATCGTAGCTCCATCTTTATAACTATTATTTCGATATAATTAAATTCGTAACAGTAAACTGTAACATTTGGCGATAATAATGTCAAAAAATTAACAAATATTTTCTGTTATTACTTTAAGTTTATTCCGTATATATATATATATATATATATATATATATATATATATATATATATATATGTATATATATAATAACTTTTTTTATAGAATAAGAGTGACAAACGAGTACACAGTCCATCTAATGGTAAGTGAATAGTGTAGCCCGTATGATGGATATCTAAATTTATCCTTGACTAACAATCAAAATGCAGATGCATTGTCGCCCCTGAGGAATAAATGGGATGCCTACACTCCTCACCATACGAAATAAAGCAGCATCGCGCTGCTATTTTACGTTGGTACTCTGTGAGAGGATGGTCCTACCTCAGTCGAGTCAACCAAATCGTGTCAACCACATCGTGCTACAACCATAATATTGCTGCAGTATTGCTCTACCACGTAAAATGTTAGACATGGACTCCTTCCATTATAGGGAAGAGTCGCCTTAATCTTTGTTGGGAAGAACACCAGACGTTTTCTCTTGATATGTTACTTCTGGCGTAAAACTAAATAGTCTGCGTCATATGGCGGATTATGTTTTGATATTTTTCTGGCAAATATTTTTAAATATTAATCTATTTTTAACTACTTTCAGGTGTCAGCAAATTCCAAAGACATAGAGCCCGAGTTAAAGGTTGACACATGGCCGAACAAGTTGCTGATGCAGCTGATGCCAAAGCAGCTCATCAGCAACATCGGAGGCCAGTATCTCAAGGACAGCAAGTCGGTGCTATTCCACTTGCAGCCAAACGAGGCGCTTGATGCTCTAACCAAGGTCATGGTCAACGGCTTTGTGAGTATTAGTAATATCATCTATTTCACATTTACAGTTTATTAGGTTTAGAAAGAAGTACAAATGAGTTTGTAGTCTTTCTGATATATGTATGATTGATATATGTGGATTTTGTGGCCAGAGTAGTCTATGGACGCCTCTAGTTATCTTCAAACAAAGCCGAGACATGAAATACTATTCCAGAGGACCAAGAAGTAAGTTACCACTAGATGAAGTGACGACCTGATGAAACATGCAGGGAGTCGATGGATGCAGGTGGTTTAAACCGTGGATTCATTTATTTATTCTTTATTGCATTCCTTAATATACAAGAATACAAGTGCGGACTTAATGCCTTGAGGCATTCTCTACCAGTCAACCCATGGTGTGGTGAGAATTTGACGTAGGTGTAGCAATATAGAATAAAATACAAAATAAAAATGATAATTAACTACGTAATATATTTATTTTACTGATTTATAAAACAAATAAACTATAGAAACATCTCCTATTTATACATATATACGAGCATATACATCATCATCATCATCATTACAGCCCTTCACAAGTCCACTGCTGAACATAGGCCTCCCCCAAGATATGCCACAAAGCACGGTCCTGAGCCACCTGCAACCATCGACTTCCTGCATGTCTTACCAGGTCGTCAAGGGGGGTCGCCCCCTACCGGTACGAGGCTGCCACTCGAGAACCTTTTTTTCCCATTTATTGTCAGTTCTTCGAGCTATATGGCCGGCCTATTGCCACTTCAGCATACTAATCCTTTGTGCTATGTCGGTCACTCTGGTTCTACTGCGGATATCCTCATTTCTAAGTTTATCATGCAGAGAAACTTCGAGCATAGTCCTCCCCATAGCTCGCTGAACGACCTTAAGTGTCCTCATACATCTCAGATCCATAAGTCACCGGCTGATTGTACAATCTAGTTTTCAGGTATTGAGGTATAACTGCCCTTGCCTTTCCCGAGCGCTGCCCAGCTTAGTTGAATCCGTCGATTGACCTCTCGGTTGAAGTTGGACTTACCCAATCGGACTATTTGTCCCAGGTAAACATACTCGTCAACAACTTCGAGCTTAGTGCTCCCAACAACTACTGGCATAGGTGTGACACGGACATTAAACATGATCTTTGTTTTGTCCATTTTCATCTTAAGACCAATCCGTTGGGAGACACTATTGAGGTCATTGAGCATAGTGCTTAGGTAAACATATACATACATACATATAAATACATATCAATGTGCATAATATATAAATAGTACATATAAATACATATGAACGTCTGATGACAATATAAATCACATGGATGATGATGATGACGCACCAATTTTTTTAAAAGCAACTTATTGGGAGCTTTTCTGATGTCATCAGGCAAGAAGTTCCAAAGTCGTGTAGCTTGAACTGTAAAAGAGTTACCAGTGTAGTGGATTTTAGCAAACTGTAGGAGGTCTGTGTTCAGCCATGGCCTTATGATTAACTTTAATCACAAATGCTTTATTGAATTTCTGCAAGTACTTTTCGTTGCCATAATATCTATAACACAGAGGCCTGGAAAAAGGCAAGAATTGAAGTTCATTATAGCAGACAGTTGAGTGGACTCTCTGGAATCATTAAGGCTGATAGAAAATTATAAAAATGAATAAAATCAACGATAGTGAATGTCGCATTATTTATTACGATTTACTGATTATGTTCGGGTATTGGACATATCATTATATTTAATAATAATTTAAATTTTATGTAAAAACAGTTTAATAATGTTTATGTTATGTTGGTGAGTTCGCGTCCGTCGCGGTTACGGTGATTACGTGAACCAACACAATTTTTATAATTGACAAACTATAGAGATTGCTTCTCGTAATATGTTAACACCAGCAGAAATGTCCGATCGGACCGTACGAATTACGATATTCTGTGACAGCGTGTTTCTTTCCCCCTCTTGTCGAGCAGGCAACCATAATACATCCGCAGTATGGTTCTAACCACGTCACTTTATCCTAAAGAGGGTACAATATTTTCTCCTTACACAAAATTTTAGCATCAGTAAACGCTGTACAATTTGTTATTAATATGTTCGTTTTCAGGCCGGGTGCGTTCATTTCTCTCCTATGTCATCGCCCCCGCAGTGCGACATCAAAGTGCTGATACTTCTGTACACTCCAGATAAGAAAGCTTATCTCGGTTTCATACCCAACAACCAGGCGACCTTCGTCGACAGGCTTCGAAAAGTACGTATTTTTTTTTAAACTCCAATACATGTCTTTGTCAGAAATAAACATGCTGTATATTTTAAATGAAAATATACGCTATCCGTTGCCAACGTAAGTAAATTATGTAATCCCTTTCCATAGATATAGTAGAAGTCAAAAGAAGAATTCAAATAAAGAGTGTTATGCGAATTGTGAGGATGAAGTTGCAGTTCTTTTTAATAAGTTAATTACGTGTTTTTTGTGGAGCGTACCCTAGACGAACAAAAAAGATAGACGGAGTCCTGCGTACGTTTGAAGCTAGTAAATATTGTGCTCAACTTCTTGATACACATCTTATTTTTTTCTTTAACAGACACTATAAGTTCATTACACATATGCACCTCAAATCATATTCCATCCATCCAATCTGTTACAGCCTATAAAGCCCCATTTACATTCAGCCACTGCCACTGCTCCTCGCGCTGCCGGCAATACTTCCCTAAATACTGCCGTAGCAGGATCGCGGGAAGTGTGTATTCACACTCTGCCCTACCACTCACATCGCTTTCGGCTTTCGACTATGGCGGACGTCGAAATAATTACAGCGTCCGCGCTGTGTCTTCTTGCAATACAAAATTATGTTAATAATTTAAAAAGATATCAAGTTCAAAAGAAGATAGATAGATAGATAGAAAATTTATTTGCTTAAAAACATGGTACATAAGATGATCAATGACGTGGAACTGACATGTTTTGCCATAATTGGCATGGAAAAATGATATGAAATACAGCTAATTACACAAACCCGATGTTGCTTAAAAGTTAGGTACACACATTCTTTTTGAATTCAAATATTATGTACAATTAAATACTAATACAGATCCACTCTATTTGAATTCTTATACAGTAAATTGTTCATAAATTATTAATTGAATTATTATATTATTGTTACATAAATAATATTAAATATTATATGAGATTAGTTAAGCTATTATTATTTTATTAATTACACTTCAGTATAAACTAATTCGTAATTTTAATTACAATAAAATTATAATTTAAAAATCTCAGGCTATTATGCAAATATTACCTTTTAACTTATTTTACATTTTAATTAATAAATAATCAATATAAGTTACTAATCGTTTTTAGAAATAAAATGTCAATGTTCATTAATTCCTTAAACTAAATTTTATATTAATATAATAAATTTGACGAATTTATAATTAATTATGTACATAGGTACTATGTTAACTCAAAAAGAAAATTCGTATTCGTAGAAGATGATGAATTGTGGTTTTTATCGTTGAAATCCCATATAGTTTTTTCTGATTCCAGCAGTTCTAAAAACTTTATTGTATTTTCATTAATCTACTCGAAAGGCATTTTGGTAGATCGTATTTATTTAATAACAGGACGGCACGCACGTCCGTTCATCCAGGCGCTTGTCGCGAAGTGAGCGATGGAGCTGAATGTGAACACACACTGCCGCTCGCGCTGCCCGTCCTTTGACTTCCGCACGAAAAACCGACATTTCGGGCAGTGTCAGCGGCAGCGGCAGTGTCAGCGCGAGTAGCCTGTTTACATACTGCCCTGCTCACTGCCCTGCTCACTTCCCTGCCCAAACGGGCTGAATGTAAATGGGGCATAAAGCCCCATTTACATTCAGCCACTGCCACTGCTCCTCGCGCTGCCGGCAATACTTCCCTAAATACTGCCGTAGCAGGATCGCGGGAAGTGTGTATTCACACTCTGCCCTACCACTCACATCGCTTTCGGCTTTCGACTATGGCGGACGTCGAAATAATTACAGCGTCCGCGCTGTGTCTTCTTGCAATACAAAATTATGTTAATAATTTAAAAAGATATCAAGTTCAAAAGAAGATAGATAGATAGATAGAAAATTTATTTGCTTAAAAACATGGTACATAAGATGATCAATGACGTGGCACTGACATGTTTTGCCATAATTGGCATGGAAAAATGATATGAAATACAGCTAATTACACAAAACCGATGTTGCTTAAAAGTTAGGTACACACATTCTTTTTGAATTCAAATATTATGTACAATTAAATACTTATACAGATCCACTCTATTTGAATTCTTATACAGTAAATTGTTCATAAATTATTAATTGAATTATTATATTATTGTTACATAAATAATATTAAATATTATATGAGATTAGTTAAGCTATTATTATTTTATTAATTACACTTCAGTATAAACTAATTCGTAATTTTAATTACAATAAAATTATAATTTAAAAATCTCAGGCTATTATGCAAATATTACCTTTTAACTTATTTTACATTTTAATTAATAAATAATCAATATAAGTTACTAATCGTTTTTAGAAATAAAATGTCAATGTTCATTAATTCCTTAAACTAAATTTTATATTAATATAATAAATTTGACGAATTTATAATTAATTATGTACATAGGTACTATGTTAACTCAAAAAAGAAAATTCGTATTCGTAGAAGATGATGAATTGTGGTTTTTATCGTTGAAATCCCATATAGTTTTTTCTGATTCCAGCAGTTCTAAAAACTTTATTGTATTTTCATTAATCTACTCGAAAGGCATTTTGGTAGATCGTATTTATTTAATAACAGGACGGCACGCACGTCCGTTCATCCAGGCGCTTGTCGCGAAGTGAGCGATGGAGCTGAATGTGAACACACACTGCCGCTCGCGCTGCCCGTCCTTTGACTTCCGCACGAAAAACCGACATTTCGGGCAGTGTCAGCGGCAGCGGCAGTGTCAGCGCGAGTAGCCTGTTTACATACTGCCCTGCTCACTGCCCTGCTCACTTCCCTGCCCAAACGGGCTGAATGTAAATGGGGCATAAACGGTATGTTCCAAAACAGAACCCAGTGTACTGTCCAATGCAAATGACGTTATGAATCGACACTATACTGGTGATTCGTTTCAAAACTTAGGACAGTATATGACGTCATACATTAGCACCATATTGGAAAAGTGTTGACGATTATTTTGTCATTTTGTGCTACAAAAATCATTATATCCTCCTAATGGAGATACCAGCAATTATTATATATTTTTTTGTATTTGAATAAAAAAAACAAATTCTGGCATGCTTCATTCAGCGTACACACAATTAAAAATTGTTTTAATATGGCCGGATATCCGACACAATATGGCGGCGGCACGCCAGTACAATATGGTTTCAATTGATGACGTCATTTGTATACGGCAGTATACTGGAAACGTTTCGGAATATACCCAAAAATCCACTGCTGAACATAGGCCTCCCCCATAGATGGCCTCATAGAGGGAATTTTGTCATAGTTGCCACGTTTGACATGGGGGTTGGCAATCATTTTTTAGTTACAAATGATTTTAGTTGCATACTACATAACTGGAAATGCACGCAGCGCATTATCGCAATAGGTTGTTGATGTCAGCCACTGGTTGGGCATATGTATGTATTATATTTTAAAATAACGTGTCTTAAGTCACGAACATTAAGTCCCGGCCATTTTTGCAGGTGATCCAGCAACAGAAAATCACACAGATAATAAATAAACAGATGCCCACAGCAGTGAGTGCTGCTGGTGCGATGGGCGGGAATATGCCCACGCAAACCATGGCTGGTGAGTGTAGACAATTTTATGTAACAATAAAGAATTTTAAATATTTTTTTTTGTCTTTTAAATAATTAAAATTATTATGCCCACCACATAAGTTGAAACCTAGCAAACAGTTGTTGCGGAGGAGACCGTGTAAAAATAAACTAAATGTTCATATTTGTGTATAGGTATATGCTATGCTCGGAGTTCCTCTGCGTTATAAAATTCGTAATGAATATATCCGGAGTAGAACTAAAGTAACCGAAATAGCCCAACAATTCAGTGAGCTAACGTGGCAACCGGCCGGCCATATAGCTCGAAGAATTGACAGCCGATGGTGAAGAAAGGCAAGGTTCTTGCGGGGCAGCCTCGGTACCAATAAACTAAGTATAGAGTGGCCCCAACTAGATGCAGTGGCGACTTTTTAAGAGAAGCAAAAAGTCGATGGATGCAGGTGGCTAGGACCATGATTTGTGGAATTCCTTAGGAAGGCCTATGTTAAGGAGTGGACTTGTGTAGGGTTCTATTGGAATGGATGGTTCACATAAGTGTAGCATATATATTTAATATACAGGGCTATTTTCAATATACGACCAAATGTGCAGAGGACATTTTTACGTGGTAGAGCCATGCTGCATGCTGCAGCAGACCGGGGAAGGACTCACAGAACACCAGCGTGAAATAGTAGCTTAATGCTGCTGTATTTCGTATGGTGAGTGTAGAGAACCGGAGACCCTTTTTACTGGAAACGAGGCATTTCATCTTAGTCCTCACGGGTGACAACGCATCTGCATTTTGTTTTGTAATCGAGGATAGATGTAGATGTCTATGGGCCGCAGCAACCACTTACCATCAGGTGGACTGTGTGCTCGTTTGTCACCCTATCCTATAAAAAAGAGGTTCAGAATAGGTAATATAAGCGTATGGTGAAAAAAAAAGAAACATTTTCTCCTTTTAATCTTTTTTTTTTTCAAAGAATATTAACAATGCTATAAACAATACTAATATTCCCCTTAACCACTCGTGGTAAGCTTAAATTGCTTGTGTTACGAGTGGTTCATGCCAGTAGTCGAATGACGGATTCGAATCCACGACCTTTTAGAGTTCGCGGTCCGCGCCCTGCCATTAGGATACTGTCTTTTATATTCAAAATGTGTGGAAATACATTATTTAACTGATTATCATTCATAGATATGTAGCGCCTACTATTTTATTACGCACGCACACATTCGTATGGGAGTGGAAAATTGGAATCATGATTCGCGTCGCGTAGTTATAAGTTACAAAAAATTATGGTTAACTAGTTAAAAGCTGAAAAGTATGTTATAACTTATGAATCTAGAAAGTATGGAAAAAATTGCATCTTTGTCACGAGCCCCACCACGTATAATCATATCATATTCTGGCGCTTTGATTGTCTGGACGACTGCATCAACGTAGTGTAGGGGATAGCAGCACTTATGCGCTCACCAAGTGTGTGGAAAATAGCGTAAATAGTGTATATATCAGTATTTATATTTTGAACTCAACTATTAAATTTTTTCAATTTGGCTAGTCTTTAAAAATTAACCCTGTATAATTTTAACACATTCATACTGCAGCCATAACAGTTCCATGTCATGAAAATATTTTAATAACAGCATGAGAAGCATGAAATAGTTATTTCTAGTATGTTGTGTGATATATTGGAAATTGTATTGCAGGTGCTGGTGGAATGCAGTCTGGAGGTATGGGCGCGCTGAGCGGTGCGCTGCAGGGCGTGGGTGTAGGCTTGGGGCAGATGGCATTGCCGGGGTCCAGCCAGGGCATGGTGCAGCCGCAGATGCAGCAACACAATCAGGTCACATATAGACCTTTACAGTGTTACGGGTGACTGTACTCGGTGCCGTTAAATACTGCGGCTGGCAACCCTCCGGCCGAGCGTGGCCACTATGGCTAAATCTCCCCCTCCCCCCATATGAAACTATAAGCGAGACCTGTGTCCAGCAACGAATTTATGGCGGAGCACTCGACTTCATGCCCACCATGTGATAAGTGGTGATATAGTCCTAGCTTGTAAATAGAGCTGCCTTAGCATAAGTCACAGCCTATACAAGGTGTGTAAACACCGTTGTCACTAAAACCATAGGTAGTTGGCTTTAATATAAAAATATTTATCCAAACTTAAAAAAAAAAACGCTATTTTCTTTCATAAAATTTAAAAAGTTTCTGTCCGTCACCGTCCGTAAATTCATGGATACCCTATGAATTTACGGACGGTGACGTAATCACTGTAAAGATCAACGCCCGCGCTAGCTACCTACACAACATTCCAATAGAAACACAATAGATTGATGTAACTTTTCCTTCATACTTTCATCCTGGCTTAGGACAGGCAAAAATTGTGGAATTAAGGAAAAATTGAGATTTTACTAAAAAAAATGTTGTTATTTTTCATTGAATTTACGTTCTATAAGTGAAACCAAACCACTGGTTTCAAGGATAACGGTGTTTACACTAATACCCTGTACGTCTTGCTGCTGGGTATTGTTTGGTTAAGTTGTATTATGGCTTATAGTAATACTATGAATACTAATACTCGTAATCGTAATGTTCCGCTGATCAGATGTCACTAATGAATGAACTCATTATCTATTCAATTGGGTCGGACAGTGTTGTAATTGAAAAGTTAGTTTTTTAAATGAGTTTTTCAATTTCTAGTTTATGTGTGACGTATATTGTATACGAAAAACGATGCCTCAGTCACAGCCCAAGAAGAACATACAGACAGTCATCGCGTTTGATGTTTTCGGAAAACCTGACATAAACAATAAATCGCTAGGGTTGTCAGAACATTTGAATTTGTTATTTTTTATCGCTCCTGTAGTGTGAACCACTTTATTTGCGTAACCGGACAACCCTAGCGGACAGATCGGTAGCGCTGCGCCCGCGTCTCGCGTCGCTCCGCCCCGCAGCGCACGATTGCCTATCTTCGATGATAGACATTTTCGATGATGGACACCTTCGATGATAGACACCTTCGCTTATGGACACCTTCATTGATATACACCTTCGATGATAGACCCCTTTGATGATGGACACCGTCGATGATCGACTGTTAGTAGTAGTTAGACTGTGCCTCAGTGGTTGGTCTTTAATTTATTACACTTTTTAAGTGTTCTAGGTTTAGGAATATCCATATTTTGGTTTATCCATTTCTAATCTAATCAAAACAAAATTTGGTCATCAGAAATAGTGATTATTCTATACACTTTTTGAGATCTCTTAAAATATTTCATATCATTCGAAAGGAGCGGCGCCGCCCTGACGCCAGAAAAACTTTTGTAAACCTTTATTCCCGTAACACAGACTAGTTTTGTATTTTGACAAATAAATTCCATCGTGTTGTCGTTAGTTATTTGTTTTTAAATGAGAGTTTGTTTGTTTCTTTTTTAGAATATGATGATGGCAAATAGTATGGGTGGACAAGTCGGCGGCGTTGCGGGTGTTGGAAGAGTAGGCGTGGGCGGCAAAGGTGCCAGACCGGTCACACAGCTAGACGGCTTGGAGGCTGCGAGGCAACAAAACCTCGAGAAAATACAGCATCTGCAGCAAACTTTGGAGGCCGCTCACCAGCAAGAGGAAGAGTTCAAGTCGCAGATGGACATCGTGACGCATTTGCACGCCGCACAACAACAGGAGCAGCAATATAAACAGTTGGAGGTAATATTTGTTTCCAGAAGTACTAATACCTTGTATGTTGGCAGCAAGACGGACTTTGTGAATGCACTTTGTATTAGCACGTACTGTGACGATATAATGTGTATTATATCATCACAGTACGTATATTGGTTGGGTTGAAATCATGCAGAATGTCATATGAATTCGAAACTTAATATATTTCGTTATGTATCTTTCTTTATTGACCGGCGCCCATGAACTATTGCACAACAGGGTTTTGCAATTGCAAATGAGTTGATGACCTTTTAAAAAATAGTAAGCTCGTTTCTTAAAGGTCCTTAAGTCGTATCGGTCCTGAAAAATTGTCGATGGTAAATGAATCTACCAAGAAGTCGTGCGAGAAAGAAAATGTATCTAGGAATGTTTTGAACTACATATAGTATAATATGTATTTGTGTCTATACGTGGGAATTTATGTTTTGTACCTTGCAGGATGCAAGATGATGTTGATGACGATGAATGTATTTATGTTTTCTAATGGGCATGGTGACCGTGTAGTGGCGGTGTAAGAATGTCCATTACTCCATATTGCCCCGAGGGTGTAAGAGGCGAGACAGAGTAATACAAACGAGGAGATGGGCAGCAGTGTCTTCCTAACAGTACGTTTACATGCGCGTGTGTGTGCGTGTGTTTGTGCGTTTGTGCGTTTGTGCGTCTGAAACGCAGATGCGTTGTCATCCCTCGTTTCCAGTAAAAAATGTTTCCGGTTCTCTACACTCATCATACAAAACACAGCAATATTTAAGTTGCTACTTTACTCTGGTATTCTGTGAGCAAGTGAACTGTATTAATTTATAGAACTGTGTATTTAAGTATTGTAAAGACCTGCTTTTTATTTTATTATGGTTCTATTGAAATAGTTAATAAAAGAGGAAGGCAACTGTAAACAATTTATTTACGCTATTTGCGAGAGGAGGCACTGTATCGTATTACAACTAATTAGCACTTAGAGGGATCTTCCTTTACTTTTTTTTAATATGCGAATGTCTTCTACCGGCCGTATATCCGCATTTATTGTCGTGGGGCGCATCTCTAGGTTGACTTGCGTAGGACGCTCGCTCGAGGAGCGGTGATTGGTCGCGATGTATGGCGTGATTTTGTCACGTGCGGGGGCGACGGTTGGCGGCCACTCTCGCCGATGGATAAATAAAGTTGGTGGAGTGAGTCGGGTGGGATAATTTTGCAGGAGCAGCAGCGCAAGCAGCAACTGCAGCAGCAGTTGCAGCAGCAGCTGCGCGGCGCGCCCATGCACGCGCCGCGCGTCATGCACACGCTCAACCAGGGCCTGCGCAACCTGCTGCAGCAGGTAGCGACCACGCAACACGCACACGTCTACACCTGCTCCTGAAGCAGTAACACGCACACCTACACACACATTTCTACCTGCTCCTGAAACAGTAACGCACCCACACATGAGCAGTGAGCACACTAAACCTACTGCAGTAACACTGAAGCAGAACACGCACTGATGTCCTAATACTCAAACGTTGGTCAATTTTAAGTCTCATGTTGTCTATTACATAAAGAGTAGATTCGACCAAATACCATGTAACACCAGAGTAACTAACCCTCGAATAATTTTACTCTTCGATCTTACTCTCAGATAACTTCATTTGCGTTTTTCCGACACAAACGTAGAGTAGCCAATATTGGATAATATTGTTACATTAGAGTTGGCTAAAGAATAATGAATGAACATTTATGCTAACTAAAAATGAAATACATTTGTTTATATAGCACAACGCAAGATTTTATGATCCCATAATTTTATTATTATAAGCCTACTGTCATTGCATGTTTTGGTAATTGTAAATAAACAAACGAAAGAAGGAAATGTAGCCCAATAATACGAGAAGTCATAAACGCACAACTGTGAAATATACTACTTTTTAACCGACTTCAATAACAAGAGGAAGTAGTCAATTCGACTGATTTTTTTGTGTTACCTCAGAACTTTTTCCTCCAGTAGTTTTTAGTAGTTTTTGAGTTATCCTTAATAATGCGTATTTAATTAACTTCGACTACATTGACGATGTTTCTCATTTTACCTATATTGAGAGTCAGTTATACATTTTTCATTTTACCACTTGTTTAACCATGCACACGAAAACAACTGTTAAAATGTAGCCGCCATTAAAATAATCCGGGATAACTAATTTACTCTATGATTTTGGCAGTATAGCGATTTACTTTCAAATAGACAGTTTTCTTGAATTAAGATTTGGTTAAACCAACAGTGCTCTAAATCTATAGTAATTAGTGTTTTTATTCGCAAGATAAGGTCATTCAATTTTGCCCTAAGTCAAAGTGACTTTGATACCACGAGACTTCATCTTAAAATTGAGTAGCGTTTGAGTATTTGGCCATAAGACTCATAATTGCATTCATTGATTAATACCCACGCCTGCGAGGAGTCCCCGTATGCTATTTCATTGATCTGCTATTTTCAGTTAGGCATAGGTAATACCAGTCTCACCCTATATAAATAGTATTTATTTTTTGGATTTGAATATCTGAAATTGATTCGATATATTTCAATATCTATATATCGGTTGATATTTACGTGATTCAGTAGCTATATGGAAGTCAGTATTCACAAGAGTCGATGCGCATGCTTTTGATAAATCCAAGTTATCAACCAATGAAAATGAGTCATACACACGCACACTAAACATCCAACACTGGCTGTGTTTGGCAGAAAAAAGCGCTAGGAAGCGCTTGTAAGCAAAATGGCGATCGTAAGCGGTAAGCGCTGTCAAATGGTATATAGTTATTTTCCTCTAGGACACTAAGTTAGCTTTAACCGGGGAACCTAACCTAATTTAAATATATGTTTGTAAAGTATTCATATTAAAAACTTACCAATCATGAATTTTTAATAACATGTATAATATGTTTATTCATGTCATTATATTACTTGAAACTTATATTGCATAAAACAACTTATAAACTCTACTTCAAAACAAACAAATTAAATAAGCAAAATGGCGGATTGTGTCAGCGCTACTGAAGTTAGCAAACGTGTCCTGGCTGAAAACTGTATAGTTTCGCCATTTTGCTTACAAGCGCTTCCTAGCGCTTTTTTCTGCTAAACACAGCCATTATCTCGCATCTATTGTTACCATTTATCGCATCTTTTCGTACCGTAGACAAAAATGTAAACCTAAGAGTTTTAGCATTTAGTTATTTATAAATATCATTGCTAAATTTTCACAATGTTCTTATATAAATGGTAGTTGACACGTGCCAATCGATATATTTTTTTATGTACTATCAGAACAAAAATTGTACATAAATTATATGGGAAAACCGGGAAATGACGTCATACTTTTGAATAATGTGAACGTTCGTTGTATGTTATATTACATAGTACAAACCTAATTTAGCTTATTACAAATCAAATTATACTTGTAAAAGTATCCAATTAAAATTATACGATGGAGTTATTTATTAATGGTGGTGTCAATTGCCCCATTATAAAATGACTTATTATATTGTATATAACAGATAACGCTAACAAATATATAAGCTTAAAATAAGCAATTTACTTCATATATGTATAACAACATATACTCATTCCATTTTGCATACTTGTGTCTCATTCATTTCGATAGCTTTTGTCTGAACATACTCAAACCAATGTGTCTGATTAGAATTTGTTCGTGTTTTGCTTTTTGTTAATAATTCTACTTTTTTTGTTAATTTACTAAGTTTATTATTTTAATTCTAACATCGTTTTATTATCATTGATTCCAATGAAAATTTAAGTATGTTCAGCTTAGCTTGCTAATTTCATTTGTAAATAATTTGATAAACTAATATCATTTCTATACCATGATTAGCTACTCCACGAATACCTACCTCTTTGCTCTGCTTACAAAAAGCTTGTCCTAATGGAATTGAGTTTTTTTTTTCAGAAATCCTAAGCGCGATAAGTATATACCTGCGTTTGCTCAGTTTAATAGTCTTTAATATAGGTATTGTGGCATTTGAGTTGAGGTGGAATGATATTCATAACTACATAATGTACTGATGGCAAAAAAGGTGAACGAAAGAATTAATGAATTTTATTCTATATATATATATATATATATATTTTTTTTTTTTATATATATATATATTATGGCGAAAACAAAAAGTTGCCTTTATTATTTACAAAAAGATGCAAGTGAATTGAAGAAAACGATCCATCAGAAATATCGTCGTTTGATTTACTAAGATTTATTATCAATCTGATAATAAATCTTAGTAAATCAAATCACGTTAGTAGTAATTGTATGTAAAACAGTGAGCGTATTCATCTAGCAATTTATCCAGAACATGTACCTTGCGCTGTGGATGGAGCTTAATAATGAATAGGTTTTTGTAATGCACTGATGATATTTTTTAGGTTTATTCTCGAGAAAACTTAACTTTTTTATAACTCACAGAAAATTTTAACACTTATTTTTTCGTTGCTCATGAAGTTTTGTTTATTAAGTGGATGTTTATATACATAAATGCAACTTCTAATGAATTTACTATCGAAACTATTCTTATATTAAACTCGAGTAACAAATGGGCTTACAATCCACCAGCATTAAGCCACTGCATTCCATGAACACCTGCAACTACCGTCCAACAAAGGCTACAGATGTCATCTCTGAGAACTTAAATGAAATGCCTACGTGTAATTATACTGGCTCTTATACCCTTCAGATTGGAACCAAGCAGCGCAGAAACTGGTATTTGATGGCGGAAATAGTAGAGTCCTATCACCTATAAAATTAGATTTCGTTTCCTTTATATGAATTGGCTATGACGTTGAATTGTTAACTCTTCCAAATTCCTTTAGTGCTCCGGTAACTACCTAATTAATTCGGTAATTCTAATCTAAATTATCAATTTTGTGTTTTATACGGGTTATAAAGTACATAATAAATATAAATTCTTTATTAAATAAATGTAAAAATATATATTCCTGATGTTAAGTGAATTTAAAAAAGAAACGTGAATGGTTTTAAAGAAACTTTAATCAGCATCGATTAAGTAGTTTACCTTCTATTTTGCAATCTGTACAAAAAAGGACACTGTAATTTAAACCATAAGCATATGACATGACGATGCATGTGCATGTCCTCAACTCTTGTGCCGAAACCTATACCAACATATTAAAATTTTACTGCTTTAACTCTTTTTTTTATTTAACACGCTCAGTTCTGCTTAACTTAAAAGTTTTTGGGCATATCAAGACCGGCTCAATCATCATCATCGGATTAGTTCAGTTGATTGCTCAAATCCTCTGTTTACTAAAACGTCTACTATAACGTTTTAAAAGTTTCCCTGTCCACGAAATAGACACAATATGGGAAAGGGTTAATTAAGCTGAGCCTACTGACAGGTAGTGCGATTGTGTGGCTCGTGGCAGTATAAACTAAATCTATTAAATAGCTTACCTTAGTCTGACTTGATCTGGTGATGCTCAGTATTACATAGCCGACCTCGTCAGTAATCTTGGCTGACTCGCTCTTCGGTCGGTCGAGTCGGCTGAATCGGTCGGGGCGAGGTCATCTGAGTTTCTGAATCAGTCGGTATGAGTTCGGCTGAGACTTATAACCGATTCACCTAATCTTACTGACCTCGCAAACCTTATAATTGAGTTAGGTCAGCTTAATAAACATGACCTGGTTAATGGGTCTGTTGAGCCCGCCGAGTTCGCAGATCGGAATCAGTTGAATTGACTGAGTCAGTTGACTGAGCTAGTTAACCCGGTCGACTGAGCGTAGTGGACAGATCAGCTGAGGTCGGTCTAGCGAAGGGCTCAGTGCGGCGTGTGTTTATAGCAGCAGCAGGCGCCGCGCGGAGGCCGCCCGCACATGTGACCGCCGCCACTCCGCCCTCATACCCTCGCACGCATAAGTAATGCTTCAAACACCTATCTGCCGACCGTGAATGTTTGTGAACGGCTTCTTACCAAAGTAACCGCCTCTTTAGAATTTACAACAGCTATAAACGATTTAAAAGTTTTTGATTGACCTACACTTGAATGCTTTTAAGGATACTTGTTTTTAAGTTAGTTATATATTAACAGGCTGTATTTCACTTTCACTTATACTTTAATGTGTAAATATTCGCATATTTCTTATAGTACTTACTTGTGGTTTGTGGGAAACATTTTAAAATTCGATGTGCGACTTTTTGACCAAATTTTTGAACGTTTTATTTAGTTTAATTTAATGTATTTGTAACAGATAATATATTTAAATTTTAGCCATTCACAAACATTTATTATTTCTGCACTAACTTGTGACATCGAACTTATTACATTTCTTGCTTTGAATTACACTCATTTTACGAATTCTATCGCTTAAAATAAAAGGTGTAAAATTTGTTCTAAATTAAAAAAAAAATGTAACTATTAGGATTATTTTCTTTTCCTTTAGTGTAATTTAAGTAATTTAATTTAATTTAATTTTTCAAACTTTTGAAATGTAATATAGGACGACGTCTTATCATTTTCATCATCAATTTTCTTTGTTCATATATTTAGCCTTCTCTTATAATGGATGTAGCCACGAGTGTTAGACGTTGTTAACCTAAGAATTTTCATTTTTAGAACCATCGAATAACATACGTATAATTGAAATTTATACTATCGTAGATTTGAAAGTGTGAACAAGTAACCCTCGTGTTTATATCTATTAAAATATTGATTAACTTTCTCACGTGCACAAGTAGTTGCTGACATTTTTAAATTAAAAATATTTCGTTGAATAAAACTACTTTTATGGATTTTATCGCGTTTAATTCGCTTAATTTTAATACCTGACATTTCGGGTGTTTTCCAGTATCCATGGTCACGGGGACTGAGGTGACCGATATCAGAGTTAACCCGGAGAGAAGGTACTTCGGGTTAGCTTTTTAATAATTACATTTGGTCCGATCTACGCAGAATGAATTTACTGTGCCTTGAAGTTGTAGTTTAGTAAGTAGTAGTTTTATTCAATGTTCCCTATTTTATTAAATATTCCCTAAAGGTGCAGATTTAACATTTAGCTACAGAGTTTGTCATATTTTTGATCGAAAGTATCTTTCTATGTAATGTGTCTTCTATATGTAGTGGTATATTCTCAATCTACGAGCTTTCGCTAGGGTAGCCGGAATATCTATGGGAACATTATAAAAACAAATTTAAAAAAATGTCAGCAATTAAAACATGTAAATAATGTAAACTGAAATATTTACAAAATTCTATTATTAGAATTTTGTAAATATTTCAGTTCAAGTTCAGTCTCAAGCTAAGTAGGAAATCTTATAATTGTCTACTTAGCTTGAGACTGATTTTGTTGTAAATATTTCCTGTCGTCTTCTATGATACCACTAATCTGCATGTTTCTTTTTTCCTGTGATTAAAAAATTCATCCTCACTTTGTAAAACGATTCATGCATAATTTTAAAAAGCTTTGTTCTTATTACGCTTTTTTATGACCACTGAGTATGAATTATCCACTATTTCAGACCTTATATCAAAAAAAAAAGTTCGAAGCGATTAATTGTATCAACTATTAGAGGAAAGCCATGATCAGTCACACACTAACTTAGTTTAATATTGTCTATAGTCTTGCTTCTGTTTGTATTTTATTGTTTGAACTGAATTTGTAGATTGTAAATTCAGTTCGATCAATAAAATACAACTTTGTACAGTTAAATTAAAGTCGTAAATTCAATTCATTTTCCTATGAGCTAAGCAAAATTAAATTATTGTAATATAAAATAGTAGTAGTAATAAGTATTGACAAATTTCAATAAAATGTTTCTGATTGCAACTTTTTGCAACCATATTAGATAAAACTCATGTATATACGTGTGTATGTTCACTAGCCTCAGTACAGGCCGCAGGGTGGTGCGGTGCGTCCGAGCTCGCAGTCGCAGCAGTTCGACGACGTCTCCAACTACAATGACTTTCTATAAAAATTGAATGACGTTTATAAGCGACATTATTTAATAAGATTTAATAAAGTTTTATTAATTTTTAATGCGTTGTCTTTTATTTAGCAATATAAGAATTATGTGGCGAACATTTGCCATCTTTTGTAATAGGGTATTTTACACCATGTAAAATAAAATCAAAAAACATATAAGTATTTATGATAGATTATGTAAAAAGTAAACGAAAAATATTGATTTCTGTTTATAAAATTGCATTATAAATTATAATATCAATTTTAAGAATATTTTTTTCGTCTGTGTCTCAAATTTCGAAAACGCAGTCCGCCATATTATAACATGTGACGTCACTGATTCATCCTTAGGGTATTAGTGTTCTGTGTTACTGGTTAAGAGAACTAGCTAAGGTGCTGTGTTATTTCGAAAGTTGTCGTTATGATTATTGAGTTTTATTACGAATTTAATTGAAAAGGCATCATGGAAGACGAATTCGTAAAAGCAGAAAGTACTAGTAATCTACCAAGGATAAATAAATTGATGGTGGCAAAAATTTTTGTATGCAATCCCAATTTTTGTTCTGCTGAGTTGAGGAATGTTAAACCATCAATGTAAGTACCTATTACCAACTTTTGTTAATACAAAAACATGACACCAGGTCAGAGAGTATTTTGATAAAACATATTTCAGTAGCTATCATAGTTTAGGTTAACTATAATTACAATCATTAGTTATAATATCTAAGTTAACGTAATTTATTACAAAATTTGACTTGCGATACACTTCACCTGGTGACGTTTTGTTTTGTATTAAAATATAGTTAAATATAAGTCATACTTACATCAAAGTAATCTTCACAGAAGAATATTCTGCTTTTTGTAGACAATGTATTCGGGTATCTTCTTGCCAGTTTTAACTAAGTATTTCTTATATTTAAATACTTGGCACTTGAATCCATAACTTTCCCGGCGTTCTTATGCTCGTATTTTTGCATTCAGGCACAACACAACAATGATTTAGATGATAACTCATTATTAAACATTAAAAACTATCTTATTCCTTTGCAAAATCGGCAAAATAAAGGACAGTGACGTCACGAGTTGAACAGAATGGCGGCTAGCGTTTTCACGCGAAAATTTAAAACTATAGATTAAAAATAATTTTTATGGCACTATTCGGTTTTAAAAAAATATGTAAAAATTATAGGAGTTCATTATTACTCCAGGATTCATTAAAACAATTTTTGAAAATGGGTGTAATACTATATTTTTAGAAAAGTTCATTGGGTTGTTTGGTACGACGCAACCAAAGGTAATACACATAACAACGAATACGAATGGCATACAATGAATAGAAGAGAATAAACTCGTACAACCGACAACTGACGTGGAAAAAAGTTTATACGAATTTCGTATATGATGTATAGGCGGCCTTGATGCCCGAGACATTAATTATGCGAGGCTAAACTGGATCCTCTTGTTACATCAATATAGATAATAATCTTTTTCATCAAAATACTAAAATTTATGTAAGCAAAAGTACGCTACTGTGTTGGCATCATTTAAAAAAACCCTCTACACACCGGCCAGTGACTTGCGGGTGTCACAAAATTCGACAGGGATCGTGTTGTTGTGGCAAGAATCGATTATCCCCTTATTTATAGGAGTTCACTATGGGAATAGCATCGACGGTCTCCACACAGTCGCTTTGGATCTCGAATCCAAGAATTAGATCTTCGCGCAAGTAATAATATGGTTACTTATTACACGGAGTAGGAAATCAAATATGACATCAAGCTATAAAAAGATATATTTTAAATATTAAATACCTAGAGTAAACAAATGAACATTACACAGAACTTTATTGTACACCAGAAAACACAAACATGCTGGAAATATTCAAGAACAAGTTAATAAGAAGGAACTGTTTGGCGGCTTTAAGGCTGCATATCGATCTCTTCCAGGTAACCAAAGGCCTAAAGAAAAAAAAAACAACCGATGCGAGGTAGGCGGTGCAATAAGATATATATACTAATTGATTTATAGTCGTTTTGAACAACTTACACGCACGCTACGGACTATAAACTATAAATTTCTAGCGCGCTATTAAATACGCTATGTTATAGTGCGCTATTTATAAGAAAACGTGTCCGGCAAGCGCGTAAGTTTTGCAGCACGCTATATCTCGTAGCACGTTACATTATATCTCGTTCGTCGGATAGAACGCGTGCTAAATAAGAACATTATTTCGTAATTAGTCGCAATTTTAGACTAAAATAAAATATAGTGGTATAGAAAAACCATTGAACGCTCTTTCATACTTTTTAGGTGTACGACTTTCTATAATCCTAAAAATATTTTTAAGGCATGTACTATTTTAAATTAAATTAAATAAATTATTTTTTCTTATAATTGATGTAAACGTTATTTTAACCTTAATATTAATTATAAATCAATTAAAGTTGTATTTAAAAGTTATTTGATTGTATATACAAAAATCAACTATTTACATACACTGTTATATACACTTTTGTATCTATATTTTATTTAAATTTAAAAACATTAGTCAGGCTTCTTTTGTAGCAGACAACAGTTTCCTTCAATTACTTATAAGTATAAAGTATATGTTTTATCTTTAGAGGATAAACTGGTGCAAATTAAATGCTCTTACTTTTCAAAATTAGTTATATTAGACAAAAGAATGTTAATCGTACAGCGTTTGGTTTACAAGTGAGATGACATTGTGAATTTGCTTTGAGAAGCACATTAGCGCCTTCTGACGAGCTGAAAACAATCACTCATTCGCGTATTTCACTTAAATCACTTCAGGCATTGAGCCTGAACATGCTCCCGGCCGTTGAAAGACCACTTTCAACTTTGAAGATCCTCAGCTGTCGGGAGCTTACAAAGTCGCACGAGAGAACGACGCGACGACGACGCACGCAGCCTCTGCTTGTGTTGACATCTGCCACTCTAGCGATTCCACCAGCTCCCATAATGAGCCGTAGCACACGGCTAAGCTTCCATGAAAGCGGAGGGGTATTGTCTTCCGCCAAAAGCACCATGTCCCCGACGTTTAGGTTGGCAGCACTACTCTTCCACTTTGTCCTTTGCTGCAGTTCCGACAGATAGTCACGCTGCCACCGTTGCCAGAAATGTTGCCGCATTTTCTCTAGGCGTTCGTAGCGTTGAAGATGACTTTCTTTGGCTTCAACCAGATACCGACCCGGCGCTGCTGTTAATGGTCTCCCAATAAGAAAGTGTCCCGGAGATAAGGGAAGAAGGTCATTGGGAGAAGAGGACAGAGGGCATAAAGGACGGCTATTCAAAATAGCCTCCACCTGGGCAAAGAAAGTGCCAATTTCTTCGAACGTTAGATGGCCGTTTCCAATGACAAGCTTTATGTGGTGTTTCGCAGATTTATCACCCGCTTCCCATATACCGCCAAAATGAGAAGTGTAAGCCGGTATAAATTTTAATTTAATAAGTTTTTGATTTGCAAACTCAAGTAGGGGTTCTTGATTTTGTTTTATAAATGAGCCTAATTCCCGTGAAGCGGCTACAAAATTGGTCCCGTTATCACAATATATTTCCGTTGGCTTGCCTCGGCGTGCAATAAAACGTCTGAGTGACATTATAAACGCATCCTTAGTTAAATCGCTTACTGCTTCAATGTGGATGCATTTATAACGAAGACAGACAAACAAACACAGATAACATTTAATTACTCGACTTCCGCGGCCTTTACGATTTATGACCGAGAGCGGCCCAGCAAAGTCGAGGCCCTGTCAGTGGGCCTCGACTTTGCTGGGCCGCTAAAAAAGGGATAGCCTGGCGTGACGCGTTGGGGCGGCAAATTGCCAATTTTATTTTCCCGCGCATACGTCTATATCGAACTAAAGTTGTTCAAAACGACTATAAATCAATAGCACGCTACAGACTGTAAACTAGAAATTTCTAGCGCGCTATTAAATACGCTATGTTATAGCGCACTATTTATAAAAAAAGTGTATAGGAGGCCTTCTTTTGTAGCAGAGAACTATGTCCTTCGATCACTTATAAATATACAGTATACACTAACTAAATAACGTCTAACACTAAATTAGTTCGCGCGCGATGAATAGCGTGCTGCTAGATTAAATTTGAGTCACACGTCTACTCCCAACAGCGCTGCTGCTAGAACTTTCAGTATATTAGAAAGTACTCTGTGGCTAGAACTGAACTAATTGCCGCTTGATATGAATAGCGCCAAAGCGTCATAGCGCCATGGCGACTACTTACATAGCACGCGCTATGCGTTATGAAGAGATAGCGCGCTTTAATATGGCGCTATGCGCTATATTAACCACCATTACATCAAACACAATTATTAACTGTGCGCCACGCCAGATGTCGTCCATTCACTGGCCACACTGTTTGTTTCACCGTTGATAACAACAGTAGTGGACAAAGAATATAGTACTCTCTAGCCGAGAGGTAGTGCACCTGCATGCATATGTGTTATGTGCTCCCTTTTGAAATATAGTTTTGTCAATCTATATGCTGCATGTAGCAAAATGGGATGCTTCTGGTCATAGGAGTAATTATCTGCCGCACCTATGCGTCCCCCAACACGTAACAACTTGTTATCGAGAAATGGAGAAAGCCAATTATTTTTGCTTTTACTACTTAAATGTTTGTTTTTTACGAGTAAATCGTATTCAGCCGGAAATGATTGAGTTTGTGAAATAATACAAAGTGAAAACCACGACTCTTGCAATTCGTTGACTGTTAAAATTCCAGTACGTTTTTGGTTCGGATTTTTAGTATTAAATATAAATCTAAGAACGTATGCGAATAGTCGCTGCAATCGATTCAACGATGAGTATTTTTCATAATCTATAACAGGTTCAGTCATTGTCACAGCATGCACCTTCAACTCTGGTAAAGGCTCGAACTCTTTAATTTTTAATACTGGCCATTCGTCATCATTTTTGAGTAAAAAGTCAGGACCTGACCACCAAAGGGACAAAGACATAATTTTTTTTG